TTTTCTCGAAAGCCTAGCAGGGGCACGATTCATTAGGTGCCTCTCTTTTTGCAGCACCTGCAACATTCATGACGACCCCGATTCCCGGCTGCGATCGGGGTTCATTCCCGGGAGCGCGAGGCTGACGAACATGAAAAGGTCCTACTGGAATCCTATAGGTTCTTCGAACGAAAAACTTAAAGGATTCCAATAGGAAACCTATATGTTTCCGTTAGAATCCTATAGGATACCGAGAGCAACTTATAGGACCTCATAGACATCCTATAGGATCCCATCTTATAGGATCTAAAAGTAATCCTATAGGATTTAATAGGATTCCAAAGGAAGGCTATTTGATCCTCAATGTTTCCTATTGGTTTCCAGTAGGATTCCTAAAGAATTCTTACCGGAATATACCAAACCAACTTGATTCTGAGCCCATGTGTAAGGAAAAGAAAGCCTCCTTTACGGATGGGATGAGCAGGGATGAGCATTCCCCCTCGAGGAATTCACGTCTAGACAGAGGAAGAACGAAGGTGAGATAAGCCAGACAGTTAGGAAAAAAGTCTTACACGAGCTCTTCCAATATCAGGGTCTCCAAGGCATCGAGCATCTCCTCGTCCACTGCAGGTCGTCTGCCATTGTTTTCTGCTTGCATCAATGGAGTATGGTAAAACGGATAATCAAGAAAACAATCCGTACACGACTCCCAAGAGTGAAAAAGGAAAATGCCAAGCAGCGAACAAACTTCAGCATCCTAACAGAAAGTTAAGGTACAATTCGTACATACCAACGTATGAGAAATTCGCCTACTTCTAAGGTCTTGATACTGGCCATCGTATTGAAATTGGTGCCAATATCTCTTCGCCGTAGACGAACTGAGATCCAACAGTTGATAAATCTTATCTGCACGCAAGCCAAAATTGCGTCCTGGCGTTAATGAGGAGATTCTGCTTGACGTCTCTCTCCATTCGATGAGCCATCTTGGAGGCAGTGTGCATATCTTCCTTGGATAGGCACACATTTATTCATCCTTTTATTCACCCTTTTATTCATGTCAAACCGACCGTTCCAACGTTTTGTTACGGACAGGTCAACGAAGCGAGACGATTCTGATCGAAGTCGTTTTTTCCACGCGGCGGAAGGGGGACATTGGGTTCAACTGTCTGGTTTCTTCTCCCTCCCTCCCCTGTCTGAACAAAACTCCTCGAGGGAGAATGCTCATCCCTGCTCATCCCATCCATAGAGAAGGCTTTCCTTTCCTTATACACGGGCTCAGAATCAAGTTGGTTTGGCATATTATGGGTGTTTCACGTTTCAAGACCCATTGGATTCCTGTACATTCTTATAGGAATCCTATAGGACTGTTTCGTTAGGGGCACCGCTTGGAATCTTGGATGGATCTTCTCCAGCTGTTTTCTTGTGATGGCTGACTCATTGGGGAGGAGGAGTGGGGGGGGGGGGGAAACGGAACGCAGTTGCTGCTCTACCCTATGCTGAAACTGCGCGTCTCTTTTCTCACATGTGCGATATCACTCCATGATAAATATATAAAAAATTGTTATCGTTTTTGTTTCGCATCTGCTTCGCGAGATTGCTGCCTACGTGACCGCGTACAGTTCCCATATCCAGAAGTCTTCGACTTTCTGTCCTTGCTGAGTTAGTAGGGAAGAAGCGGATGGCATTCGACGTAGGCTTTTCCTTCCTCGCATTTTCGGTTATGAAGCCATGCAATTTTAACCCTTTCAGACCTGGCGTCCATTCCAATGGACATTGCATTTACATTGTGTCTATGGCAATTTCTTGCGATTCTCGTGACTTTGCGCTCTATATCACGCTACAGTGGGCTCAATTATGCATGGCTCAGTTCTATCAGAGGTCTTCTTCACCCATTAGTTTTGTAATCTTCGGTTATTTAATTAAATGCTAACTTGAGAAATAGAGGGTCAAACTTCAGAGGTTTTTCCAGGTTGTACGCGACATTATTTGATGAAGTTGATGTTTGTAGTACACATGGTACTTCACGAAGACTTGCAATGTAATACTTAGAATGTTCAGGAACTGAAATGTTTTGTGGCATTCATCAGGTCCTAATTGAGATAGAACCATGGATGTACTTCACAGGTACTTCCGCTTGGAAGGTCTATGATAAAGGCCTATGAAGGCTCATGATAAAGGGTTCCATCTGCCTCCAATAAGATCTCCCAATTATTCTCTGACAAAAATTAGTTCGAAATTCAGCCTCTTAAGCATGCACTCAAAGAACATAAACATAGAAGATCAATACCCGAACGTCTAATTTCGAAATACAGCCTTAGTCATATTACATCATCATCTGACACTACCAAGTTTGCGTTCTACTCAACAAGTCATTCCAGTCCATCTGATCCACTTTAGGTATCTAGGCGTGCTTTTGAGATCCAGTTTCTTCCCTTTGCTGAGACTCCCCCAAAGAAATACTAGAATAATTTTTGGCCAGTTGTTCAGGGAGACGTGCACCTTGCCTCGCCTCTGGTATATTGCAGATAAAAGACATAATCGATATGATATATAAATTTAACTTCAAATGGAGCGAAAAACGAATGAATCGTAACTGACAGAAATAACAGAATGAGATAACTTCAAAAATTGAGTTTTTGGCAGCGGACTTTTAGTCTTTTGAGTCCGATTGACTCATCTCGATTATGTTCATGCAATTCATCTTATTCACAGTAAGAACATGGGGAAAAGAGACAGAAAAACAGAGCTCAGAGATTCTGCTGTGATGTTAAAGTGAGGAAAATTGTATGTAATTTTTGTTTTAGATCAGTTCATCTTTTACATAATTACAGAAAAATGTCATTTTCTATGAAAATGACATGCAAATGAACCAAATATACTTTTTCGGATTTTTTTTTGCAGATAAAACCACTTTACCTTTCACCCTTGAATTGAAACACACGCTTGAAATTCAGCTTCTACCTGTGCCACCAATTACCTTGAACGTCTTAGGCAAAATCTCATCGGATGGTGCTAGCTGTAACAAGATGGCTGATGGCAACAGGGGACCGCCGAACCTGGATAATAAACCGATCAAAAGTCTCCAGGGTTTTGTCTTCACCGATTGTCCAGGAAATGTAGAACCTTGTTGAACTGAATGTTTCAGATCCAGACAGATAGAACCTCGAAGAATAGTTAATTCTAGCCTTTCTTGAGGGAATTCACTCAAAATTAATATACCCCCCGAATCTACTTTCCATGCAGGTTACTTGTATGTCATTATCGTTTTTTCCATGAAAATGTCAGACAGAACCTAATTGAACTGGAGGCATTCCCTCCTCAGACTTATTCGAGATGGTTCGAGGAACTCCAGATAGGCGTATTGTTCCATATCAAATGAAATGGTTCATGCAACGCGAAGTAGGTTTCAAATCGGTTTAACGTTACACGTTCTCTTTGAAATGGTTCGTGAAAGTAAGAATAGGACTGCGATTGCCTGACGTTACGCGTCCTCAACGAGATGTCTCGAAGACCACTGACTCACCCTCATAAGGCTAATTGGCCCCATAAGTCGAGAGTTGAGTTTCTTTTGAAAGAGGAAAGGTAGGCCTTGACGTGACCTGAAAGCAGTCTGTTGATTAAGCCTAGTAAGTTAGTGTTACGTACAGTGTTAGTGTTAAGTACGTTAGTGAGTCCCGTAAGGAGGTAGGGGGGAGGTTGAAGAAAGGGAAAGCCATTGAAAATTGGTTTTCACGTTACTTCATGCTCTCATTAACTCAATTTCGTTCCATCGTCTGCACATTTGCAATCTGGAAGAGCTAAACATTTTCCTGATCCTGGTTTTTCTGCATTCCGTCGGGTTCAAATTCCTACGAGTCTTTGCGAAATTTCGTGTTTTTATCTCAACCTCGTCAAGGAGATTTTGCAGAGAAGGGCTCACAGAACCTCGAAAAGATCAATTCGAATTTCGCAAATCGAGCTATGACTTCGTGTAATTCTCTTACTCATTGCCCACACATCCTCGACTCCGGTCTCCATGCCAGTTGGCAAGCGAAAGCAACAACATGTGGACTCGATGAAAATCATGTGGCAATCTACGGGGATGCCAGATGAGGGAATTTCCTCTTGGTCTCCATGTGCGTCCATTTCTATCCTCGTTCCATTGAGCCCGTCGGAATGCCTCATTATAATCCTTTTCTTTCGGTTCCGTTCAGTAACCCTAACGAGTTAATCTACCCTTTATTTTGTATGGATCAGTTCGACAGGATTTCAGCTGGGAGTGAATGTCGTGAGGGAATTCCATGTTTTCTCCTGTAGTTTCGTATTTCAGTGTATACCCCAGAATTCTATAAAGTTTCCTGGTTCTATTTGGTCATGCATCTATGATTCTCTGATTTCTGGGCTACGGTCGACGACAAAATCTACGTTGGAGCGAATGCCACCGTCACAGAATGGCTCTGGAGATTTCCCTGGCCGCTTCCCATCATATCGAAGCTCAACTTCGGTATCTGGATTTTAGGATTGCATGTGGATGGAGAGAAATGCAGAGGCGAGTTTTCGTCGGCTGTGGGCCGGAATGAATTCAACGGGCGAATAGTCAGTAAGGGCTCAAATACATTTTCCCAATCCTTGGTGCCTTAATTGATATTGAAGTTCGATCGACTGGAGAACTTGCGAGGAAAGCGCGCTTTGCGAATACGGGTCTGGAACTTTACAGAGACTCCTTACGTACACAATATTTTCAAAAGTGAAGGGTGACCTATGTGAATTAACGGTGTTGCTATCGCCACAAATCAATATTGTAGAGCGACCCTATGCCATGATCGACTGGATAATGTCTGAACGGTTACTATTGTGTCAATTTCTCATTCATTATTCTGCGAAACATCGGACGATCGCTACAGAGCGGATAACGAAAGTGGCATCATATCCATTCGCTACTCCACCGGCAAGCACACTAGGCAAACTATAGGGCGGAGATGGATCTTCTTGCATGCCATTCAGTCCCTCAATACATCTGTGCACCGAGCGGTTTTCATTGGATGGCAAACGTCGAGTGCGATTGGAAGGACGAGTGCGACGCCCTGTGGGCGGGGCGACGGGGATGGGGCATATCTCAGCCACGAGCTCTACCCAGCCCATTACAAATCCTGCATCGCCCTCTGCTGTATCGCAAGAGCGGAAGCATGATCGGCTGCTACGCGATTCGTCTCCTCGTTGCAACGTGAGTCTCGCTTGTCCTAGTCGTCCGTTCTGAAAGAGAGCCTCTGTCGACGTGATGGAGATTTCCATGAGAGGAAATTCAGCGGAGATGGATCACGAATCTGAGTTCGTGACGAGTCCTTATCGAGATGTTACCATTCCACCGAAACGTGCAAGATTTATTCATCCTGTTTTTTTGGAAGATTTCTCGGAATGATCGTTAATTGTCACCGAAGTACACAAAATCCATTAACGAACCTTCATTAAATACTTTCGCAATAAAATTGAATCATTGATGCATGAAGAAGGTACGTTTCTTTGTGGGCATTTCTCCAGGGTCATGTATGAAAGTTTATGGTAGTTTGATCGTCGTTTGCAACAGATCTAGTCTTTGACCATTTCAGAAGCGAAATACCCAGGTAATAACGCAATATTTTTCGCACGACAACGTGACCACAAAAAAAATGAATTACAGTATCCGAGGTTTCCCCTTTCCACTTTCCCATGAATCGACTGCTTCTCTGTGTAGGTGGGTGCTGGGGGACGTGGGCCTGATCGCCTTTCTAGGTCGAGCCCAATCTCAGCTTCAAACTCGTGTCGACTCCGGAGCACCGTGTAAGACGGAGGACGGGTCGCCGGGGACCTGCACGTTCCCTGTCTACTGCTCTACTCATTACCGCGAGTCGTCGGAATGTTCCCTCGGTGACGGACATCCTGGCATATGCTGCCCCCGGAAATTATCCGCCTCCTCCGGTATGAATCCACAACAAAGAATCCATTCTCGATCGATAAAAAATAAAAATAAAAATAAGTATATCATATCATATATACCATATATATATATGTGTGTGTGTGTGTGTGTGTATACGTGTGTATATGTGTACCAATATATGGTATATGGTATATATGTGTGTATATATATATACTGTATATACACATGATTTCCGCTATGCAGCTGCAGAAGGAGATGTTTTCCGGGTACAACAACGAGACGTTCCGATCCAAAAGCTCACCCAAAGCCAATTGGATGCGGCAGGGAAATTCGGGTTCCAGATGGTATCTTATCGCGACCAGACTGCTTCTCAATTATTGAGTCAGGGACTGGTCATACAGCCGGGAACTCCCGCCGGCTACCACCACAGGTTCTTCCAGTCCGACCCGAAATCGCTTCAATTGGCGAAGAATGCCATGGTTGGCGTCGAGGCGGCGGGGAATCTCACTCGACAGTAAGATCCGAGAGTTTCCAATTAAAATTATTTATCTTGGGTGATTTTATTTCCCTTGTAAGATAGGCATGAAGTCAACTGACTTTGTACCAACTGACTCTTTTTAACACACTCTCTGTAACGTATCAGAGCGCCTAAAATGTTTGTTAGTGTTTGTACGCTAATCCCTCTGATGAACTGCAGAATTTTTCTTTTTAACTCTTCTGCATTTCGAGGCCTAGTTTGGTTCGCATCGCTCTTTTACAATGTCCCCATAAAAAGAAATTGGGGCAGTCGATTCCGGTGATCATGCAGGCCAGAAAAGTTCGCAATTACTTGAAATAAGCCATCGGCCTAACTTTTTTGTTGTTGTAAATATAGGGTAATTACAATTTTGTTTCATAATAATTGAAGCACAATTCGTGGACCATTTGACCAGTAGGAATCGGAATTGACTAGTCTGGGAACTTTGAATGAAGGAAGGAATACATTTTCAATTCAGTTAGTTTTAACGGAACCGAGGTCACATCATTTCTTCGGAGACGTCTACAAAAGGACACTTGAACCAGGCCGAGACGCAATTAGCAAAATGTAATAATAATACAAATACGCTCATGTTGTGATATTAATATTTTCTTCGTGACATTCCATTTCGTAGGTTCAATCTGAGCCCGGACCAGGCGACGTTCGGATTGTCGAAATACTCCATGACGAAAACACCAGCGGCCAGCACGTGCCAGCCCCAGCCGACATGCACCCCCAGCAGCAAATACCGAAATCAGGATGGAGCCTGCAACAATCTTCAGAACCTTCTGTGGGGACAATCGAGGACTGCATTGCAACGCCTCCGACCATCGGCTTACCAAGACGGTGAGGGCTCCCTCTACCCACGTAAAAGCGATTGTGAATGACTGTCTTTCTCAAGTTCTGACCATATCCTAGAAATTTGGTACGTAAATAACGCATGCTTTATTGAGATTCGGAAATATTCCGACATTGAAGGGGTAGCAATTATTTGTAGAAATAATATCGAACCAACGAGCATATTTCGTAACGCTGTAATTCGGTGTACCGATATCAGTAAGCACGATTGCACCTATGACCTTTCTTCAGCACGCTCAAGGGAATATGCTTCGATTTCGAATGTTACGAACCATCTTCACTGGGGTGTATGTGAACATAATTCTGGGTAGTTCTACTAGAGTTAAAACTTGAACTGGAGCAGTTCTCGCTGTCACGATTTCAAGAAAACCCTACTTTTGGAGTGAACTCAAATAAATTTTTTGCGATTATGGACCACATTGTCCAGCGCAATGCAGAGACAGAGAAAGAGATTCACTTCAGCGCTTGTGCTAAAACATTCATATGGAGGTAAACAAAACAAAATACCCACACAGTAAGCACCGGCAATTAAAAAATAAATATTTTCATTCTAATGCCATGATTTACTCCAAAATGTATGCGACATGCGTGAAGCAGGTGTGATGACTGTAAGAAGTTTAGCCATCCTCTTTAAGCCTAGGAGAGAATATGGACGACCTGCAATGGAATAAATATGTGACAGGTGTGAGCTCGCCTCGAGTGGCGGTGTCGGGGAGAGCGTTGCCCAGTGCCCGGACCGTGAGCAATACCCTAGTTCCGAATTGCGATCGACCCGATATGAATTTGACGCTCCAGACTATGCAATGGGGACAGTTCCTGGACCACGACATCTCCTTCGTCCCCAATTCTAAACTCGGTTCGTTCCTTCACTCCATTCCCCCGTTCGTTCCGAGTATGCAACCGAGCGACCGCGATTCCTTGCAGATTACCTCGGGGTGCAGGGGATAAGTTGTTGCCAGAATGGAAATGTGATCGTCCCTTCCCCTTTTCCTGAATGTTTCGCCATCTCGATCTCCCCACAGGATCCCTTCTATGGACCACTGCAGGTAGGTGGTGATTTTTCTCTTCCCTTTTCAATAGCTCGTGACGACATGAGACAAGAATGACCCCGACCTGAATTCCTGTCGATAGCAACAATGCATGAACTTCGTGCGAAGCCTTCCGGCTCCCCGACCCGATTGTTCCTTCGGACCGAGAGAACAGGTGACGAATGATTAGGTGCCTCACTGAATCCTCTTCGATCGTGTGTCATAAATGGGGACGATGTGCATCCGGCAGATGAACCAAATAACCTCCTGGCTTGACGGGAGCTCCGTATACGGGTCTGATCTCGAGACGACGAAGATGCTGCGAGCATTCCAAGGTGGGCTCATGAAAACCTATGAATTGGACGGTCGGAGCCTCCTTCCTCTCGAGTCCGAAGGCGCCAGGAAACGCCAATCGACGGCCCCGGGCTTCATCGCCGGTGAGTCCTAGAGAAGACAGTTTCGGTCTTGGACTCGTTCTTTCACGGGGCCTGCATCGACAGGGGACACGAGGGTGAACGAGATGGCGAGCCTTTCCGTCTTGCACACCATCTTCGTTCGGCAGCACAATCAGATCGCCAGGGTGCTCCAACAACTGAATCCGGCTTGGACTGACGAGACTCTGTTTCAAGAAGCAAGAAGGATCGTGGGCGCTCAGTTGCAACACGTCACGTTCAACGAATGGCTCCCAATCGTTCTCGGTATTTTCTGCTTCACGATTCATTGTGTTCATCTCGGCCCCATTATGCGTGAAATCCAGGAAGAAACAGGATTTGGTTAGGACTGTAACCCCCCGCAAATAAAACCAGGATAGCAAGGCTTCAGGGCTCAAGAACACCTAGTTACGATAAAAGATATCCTAATGTTTCTTCAAATCAGATATGCCAAAGCAAAATGTCATATTGCCGATCTGCAATTTCTACTCTCAGATCTACAACTCAGATCGATAAGTTCCAGTCCTTTTAACGACTTCGGTACCGATTTTCTTCGCAGGTTTCTGTCATCAAATTTTTTAATGTACAAATATTTAACTGAAAGAAAGCAGAAAAACGAGATTTTCTTGAGATTTTCGATATCATGAGGTATCACAATTTTCTCATGAGAACGTTTTGAGACCCCAATGAAAAAGTTGTGAGAACTCACGTGGGCTCCCAGAATCCTCAGAATCCCCATGAGAAATCCGGCAGATCTCACGAGTTCGTAATGATTTTTTTTTCCACGCATAATTACCCATACGTTATGATCCTGACATTTTTTCAGGTTTGGTCATTCCGCTCCTGCCCAGCGTACACGTTTGTCTTGTTCTTGTCTTCGATGAGTTGCGACACCACTAGGCACATTTCATTCGCAATAAGCATCGCCATCTTCGCATAAGTTAATATCACTTGCAGAAACAAGAATTTCTTCGATTTCTTTCGGTCCATACTCAACTACAAAATTGTTCGTTGGCAGGATTCCGCCCTTGACAGAAGAACAGGCTCCTCTTTTGTGCATTTAAGAATTTCGTTGCCTTATGCGAAACAACAATAAGTCCCACCATCTCTTCAAACCCCTCGGAGATGTGCTTTGTGATAGTGAAATCTCGCGGCATGCGAAGAAAAAGTTAAGGCATTCGCCGAACATGACGACTCCTCGTTGGTAGCGAAGGGGTAAAGGCGACGTGTTTTTAAATGCTTCGGCGCTCAGCAGAATCGCTTCGAAAAGTTCGTTCCTGGTCGTTCGATGCGTTCGGTCGTCGAAAAAGAATGGGGCTTCAAATACGCATTTCTATTTTCCTTTCCTAAAGGTTTGAACTCGAAAATCAGTTCCAGAATTTTTCATCTCGGACCAGTGATGGTCGTTCTGATCTGCGATTATTGCATCGGGGCGCAATCATGACTCGATATCCTGATATTCAGGGTCCACATACATGAGGAATTTCGGGATCGCAACCCAGCAATCGGGATATCGACTCAATTACGATGCAAGCATCAACCCGAGCGTGACGAATGAATTCGCCGTAGCCGCCTTCCGATTCGGCCATACGCTCCTCCAGGGGATTTTCAAGTGAGAAATCGTGTCTTTCCCCGATTCCCCTCCCTCTGGAGTTCCTGGGTAGGATACCCGCTAAATGAAGAGTTTGACAGACTTTTTGGAGGAGGAGGGAATAAGGAGGTGTTGGAACTGCGGGACCTTTTCGAAAATCCGAGTCTGCTGTTCCCAAAGAATGGGATAGATCGACTCATCAATTCTTTAGTCACTCAAAATGTGCAGAGTTTCGACCACTTCGTCACCACAGAAGTTCGTTATCGGTGTCTCTCTCTTCGTTTTTCCATCTCGCATCCTCGTGAATTCAGTTGGATTCCCGCAGGTGACGGAGCATTTGTTCGAGACCCCCACCCAGAGTTTCGGAATGGATCTGGTGTCGCTGAACCTGCAAAGGAGCAGGGATCACGGGGTCCGAGGGTACAACGAATACCGGCAACTGTGCGGTCTCGGCAGGGCCAGCAACTTCAGTGGATTCGCGCCTCAGATCGATAACCACATGATAGAGGACATAGCGCATACCTACGAGAACGTAGACGACGTGGATCTCTTCATCGGTGGCATCAGTGAACGGCCACTCGATGGGACTCTGTTGGGACCCACCTTCCATTGCATCATCGGCGACATGTTCCAGCGTCTCCAGAAGGGGGATCGCTTCTTTTACGATATCGGAAACCAACCCAATTCCTTCACACCCGGTGATTACTTCTCGTCTGGCTCTTTTACTCTCTCCATCGAGCAATTCCCGATGATCCTCTCTCTGTCACCCTCGTCGATCGTAGCGCAACTGTCGGAGATCCGGAAGACGAGTCTCGCCCAGATCCTGTGCGACAACAGCGATGGTGGAATCCAAGGAATTCCACCCTTGGTCTTTCAGAGCACGTAAGTTCTCTCTCGGTTTCGAGTACGATACGTTTGAATCGTTTGTGATTCGCTTTTTGCGTTCTACATTTAGGATCCAGAAGGTGCCTTGCTCGAGCCCGACGATTCTCCGACCGCAGTTTGGTCCGTGGAAGGTTTGATCTTGGGTCGGAATCGGCTGGGGGGATTCACTATGCGTTCCTGTTTTACCATTTTAATGTTGCACCTTTTTTCATTTCTCTTCACATCCCGTTCAGTTGTCGAAAATAAAAAAGAACCCTTGCGTTCATTCCACAAGAATCCGGATGTTATCTACTTTCGAATCCGCGTACCATTAAGTAATACGCATGGTGACAATTAGTTGACACATCATTCCATTTTCCAGCCGAGATTAGCTCCATCTGTCCCAATTAATTCGCAACCGGGGTTTGATTACCCGATATGCCCGAGAGGACTCTCTCCCAAGAAAGGGTCAAACCGGATCCGTGAATTCGCCTATGCTTCACTCCTGAGCCGTCCGCTCGGCACTCCCTAAATTGATACGGACATCGCCTGTTAGGTGGTGGAAATTTTAAAAATTTGTTCAGGGACTGAAACCTAGAACCCGACAGTTTATCCAGCCATGTCCTTGATGAATTCATTTTAGGAATACCATGAATGGCGACAGAACAACTGTCTCACGAGACGGTTCTGTCGCCATGGAGTAAATTGGCTCAATACAAAGTTGTTTCCCCTCTGTTGACGATATAAATTTTACTTTATCCAAGAGCTCCAACTCGAAGAATCTGAATAACCAGGACAAATCGGAAATTGTCCAAGAGTAGCCATGGATGTAATGGTACGAGCATGGCCCCCTAGGTGTCACGCCTGACCTCTGACTCTTGACTCCAATCAAGAGATCCTCCTTATTAACCTAGATGTAATTTGACTCAGCAACCTGTCTTTCCATTTCATTCTGAACTCAGACTAGAGGCAGAGTCATGATTTTTTTAACCCTGTATTTCAACTTCCAAATGCCCAGAAATGAAGGCCAGTGCCTCAGTATCGCACGCACCTGAAGAGTGAGATTCTACTCCTCCTTCCTCTCATGTTCGAGAGAAACAGGAAACGCCAATCGGCAACCCCGAACTTTCCAACCGGTGTGTCCTTGGGAGGGCGATGTCAGTCTTGGACTAGAGTTCTCACATGGGGTTCGCATCGACAGGGGATACGAGGGTGAACGACGTCGCGTGTCTCTCAGTCTTGGACACCATCGTTCAGCAGCACAGTCAGATCGCCAGGGTACTCCAACGACTGAATCCGGCCTGGACTGCCGAGACGTTGTTTCAAGAAGCACAAAGGATCTTTGGCCCTCAGTTGCAACACACATCACATTCAACGAATGGCACCCAAACGTTCTCGGTATTCCCTGCTTTACGATCAGTTATATTCATCTCTGTCCCACTATGCATGAAATCCAGGAAGAATAACCTTCAGTTAGAAACAGAGATAACCTTCAATTAGAAACAGAGATAACCTTCAATTAGAAACAGAGATAACCTTCAATTAGAAACAGAGGATTTGGTTGGGACTGCACCCCCCTCCTCCCCCCACCGCAAATAAAAGCAGGATAGCAAGGCATCACGACTCAAGAACACCTAGTTACAATAGATGTTTTCGCATCGAGTAATGTTTCTTGAAATCAGACATGCCAAAAGAAAATATCATGTCGCCGACCTGCAATTCCTACTCTCATTTTTTTAAAGAAAAAAAGTATATATCTTGATACAAACGACGTGAAATTCGGACTCCAGGCCATCAACTCAGATCGAACATTTTCAGTCCTTTTAACAGTTCCGATTTTTTTTTTTTGGGGGGGGGGGGGTTGTCATGAGGTATCACGAGGAGAAATCCTGCAGATCTCATGAGAACTCATGAGTTTACATTGAGGTATTTTTTCGCGTTTTTTTCGCATCGTCATATGTTATGATACTGACATTTTTTCAGGTTCGGTCATTCAGCTTCTGCCCAGCGTACACAAAATTTTGCCACGCTAATTTTGCTTTACGACGGTGTCATAAAAATTCAGGTTGAACGGTGGGACAAGCGTCTCAATGGCCAATGAGAGTATTTTCAATAAACGCTGCATGCACAGCTAAAAGGAATCGCTTGCTATTTTCATTCGACTGACCTAGTAGTTGGGCTAATTTAGTTGCAATTTAAAATTCTGGTAAGATAGCCTACCATTATTCTCATGAGAACCGGGTCCGGACAAAGTTGGATTACCTTATGTGTATGATGTGCAAGGAAAGAGAATCTGCCTATCGTCAGAACATATGCTTACATGTCGAAGAAGTTTGACTTGTCTCTGCAAAGGAGGCTGACGTTGCATTGTTACATGATGCTAGAAACACCGCGGCTGTCTTTGTAATCTTTTTCTGATCGTTATCGCTCATAGGGGAAGAAAGAATTCAGGAGAGACGCAGAACCGGAATCGAACGAGCTTAGTGATTGATTCATTTCTATCGGTTTATCTCGCCACTCTACCCTTTCTATTGTACTCCGTAACCTTCCTCGCAATACCGGTTTCATTGGAGGATGTGTTCAAGGCTGACAACGTTCACGTGGAACATGTCCAAAAAAGCATGATTCTCAGACCGGTCCTCTCGGTCGCCTGGAACCTTCCAGATTCCTCTCGAACCATTATTCCTGGTTCCCTGGGCACACCCCCACTGGCACAGGATAGGTGCCCCCCGGATCGTTGAAAAAATGAAGCCTTTTACGGATCGCGCAGGTGGCGGCGCAAGGGAATCGAGGCACAGGCGCTCTCCATCAGGTTCCTTCTCATTCCCCATCCACCTTCCACCGTTCCCCTTTCCTGGTGTCGAGTGCCTTCTCGAGTGGTGTGCGAGACGGGAAGAGAATGCCAGAAGTGGAACCAATATCGGTCTCAGACGCGGAGGGAGGTAACGCGAGTCAGGAATTTCTCGACGGGCATCAATACAGTCGGAAGGGGATCCTTCGGTACGAGAGGATCTTCGGCGATGACTTCGTCAGCACCGGCGGCAAGGATAGCACCGAAGTAAGAGCCTGTCTCGGTCTCCCTTTCCCTGCTTTCCCTCTCGATCGGTTGTCTGGTGATCGTGCATGTCTTTAACAAGAATCGTCATGTTCTCATTCAAGGAATTCCTGTCCATGCTACATCTTCGCAGTGGGCAGAAGGTGCTGGACATCGGATCGGGGATCGGGGGAAGCGCCTTCTTCATGGCTAATCACGCTCATGTACATGTCTTGGGAGTCGATCTTTCACAAAACATGATTGCCCTTGCCCAAGAGAAACTGCACAATAAATATCCCCATCTCAAGGACAAGGTCTGTTCTCTGGCCTGAGACGTGGCCTACGATTTCATGCTATTAGGACTAGGCTTTCATAGGCAGATCGGCTAGAGATGAGGATTGAATGGCATAACGGATTGACAGGTGAAATTTCATCACGGTGACATATTCGAGCAGGAGTTCCCTGAGAACTCTTTCCATTTGATCTACACTCGCGATGCCCTCATTCATGTGGGAGAGAAGAAAACCCTATTTGAAAATTGCTTAGTGAGTCACTCACGTGAAGATGTCTTCTTTTGCATGCCTGTGCCACCCTGACCCCTAACAAAGGTGGAGTTCATGGTGGAGGACGTAACAAGCGCTGATTACCAGCCCGAGTCTTTCCATCTCGTCTACTCTCGAGATACTCTTCTTCATATCCAAGACAAACTTTCGCTTTTCCAAGCTATTTATGTGAGTGGCTTGAGCGTGCTCCAGAGGTCCCTGTCGTAGCCTATAGCAACCCAACTGCATGCGTGACTTTAATCAATCCTGCATCAAATGCTATCTTTCTGAACAGAGGTGGCTGAAACCCGGTGGAAGGCTATTCATTACAGATTATTGTCGGGGGAATGCCGCCCAGTTCGACAGGGAATTCATCGAGTACGTCAAGGAAAGGGACTATAAGCTTCTCACCATCCACGTTAGTTTCATCTCTTCCTCCCTCCCACCATGATTCCTCATCTCATTTTTCTCTCATTTGATCTGACTAGGAATATGGAAAATTGCTGGAGAGCGTCTTTCCAGAAGTCTGGAGTGACGATCGCACTGAGCAGTTCCTCATGGTGCTCAAGAAGGAACTTGCACATTTGGAGCACATCAAAGACTCTTTCATCAAGGTGAGCCCAAGTTGGGTCTTGCTGAGATTCTTGACGCATAACATAAATTTTTTCATCTTTGTTATATATTTCCAGGAATTCTCGGAGGACGATTACAATTATTTGGTGGAAGGGTGGAAAGCAAAAGTGCAGCGAGTCCATTCTGGCTATCAGGCTTGGGGAGTGTTCCTTGCCACCAAACATTAGTGTCACTTCTTTCTCTCCTGCTTCTCTCCTCTTGTGTTCCTTACCTAATTTCTTTCTGGTCTCCATAATACTTCATTCTTGCATTAAAGTGCCTTCATTCTTATTTGTGTCAAATTTTCAATTGGATACAGAAGGCAGATGTAAGAGTAGTTCCTGTTGTGACAGTCTCAGCACATCACTGCAGTCAATCTTGAATGCACACACAATACTGTTAATGTCCCTCTCAACCCACATCAATAAAATAAAAACAGTGCAAAGATGAATTACTGGCAAAATGTCATAACATTGGCTAGGACTGACTATCCTCTGAGAACTCAAGGGGCTGCTGAATAATACATTAAGACACAAAAAAAGATTGATTACCTTCATCAGCTATCTTCTCCAAGACTGAAAAGACGGCAAGGAAGGAACTTGAAAGATTTCAAACTCCCAGAAGTAAAGTGAGGATGAGAAACTTAAAAATGCAGAAAATTGAATCGAGGGATATGTGAGATAACTGAAAGAACTAGTCCAGATTAGTCGTCCTAAAATAAATACATCTGCGTAACTTATTAGGGAGAGACTAATTTATTCTGAAATAACTGGATTATTACATAATACCACCACTTAGTGTGTTGAGGCTCCCCTCCTTGATCTAATCTACCATATCAGATATGGAAATGGCACTGTTCTTTAATGCCTTATGTGACTCAATTTTTGGGGCTATGAGGTTTTGGAGGAATTCATGAAACAGCATAGGGAAGGATAAAGGAAGTGGGCAGCCACAGAGGAAAGAAGAAAGTTGGTCAAGTTTGAGATGAATTTGAATGATGTGGAAGCCATAGTATTCTTGTGACTGGGCAAGTCACCCATTTTATGACAGTATGTTCTTTCAGCCATGGAATGGAGTTATAGAATAAGAATTCAGAGAGATAGGCCTTGACTGACATGACATTTGTCAGAATGGTAGCAGGACCACACTTTCCTTGGGGAGACAGAATCTATTAGCTAAAAAGCTTTTTGAAGGATTCAAGAGTTCCTTAATGGTGCTCATGAGATTATGCTTATACTCTGCAAAATCCAGATGCTTCATAAATTCCATGTTGAAAATATACAGTATATACCAAACCCTTCCTCTTTTCTGGAATTGATTGTAACTTTCTGGCTTTCATTTTCAGTTTTTTCCCCTTTGCATGCAATTTTAGCATGTACTGGTCTAATTTGAGATTGTCCTGGCTTTTGTGAATATCATTCTAATGTGCTTGTAATGACAATTGTATGTGTTGCAAATCCATTAACCCTTTGAGGACTACGAATGTACAGGTACGGCCTGAATGGTTTAAAAAACTCAGTCCTCAAAGGGTTAAGTGGATTTCACAGATCCAATATGGCACAGTAAGTTTGCACAACTTTAGCCATTGGTGTTGCAACCAGCGAAATTAAAATGTAAATTGTTTATATCTGATTCCCTCCTCAATTCAACTCCTAGATAAGTAAATAGAGAAAGAGAGCAGTTGGGAAAGCAAGATTCTGAACTGTCATATATAACATCAACAACTGCAGCTTGGGTCAATATTGTCAACTATGGTCAATAAGGCTAACTTTTACTTCTTTTTTTTTTTCTGCACTGTTTGTGGTCCATTTTTTTCATGACTCATAACTGATAGACTAGGCATGGGAAGTTGACAGGTCAACATGGTCATTCATGATCATTTATGGACAGTGATCAATGAGCCCAGCAAGAGGTTATGCCTTATGACTGTATATGATCATAAATGGCCATGTTGACCAGTCAACATCCCATCGCTTAGATAGACTTTACCATACAGATTGCATGTGTTGGAACATTAAACAGTTATCAGTCATGTTTCAGAGATAAATTCTGACTAGTTAGCTCCATAAATACTCTGAATAATGAGGAATGCAACACAGTGTCCAGAACTGGAGTTTCTTGGTTTCTGGTATAAGTATTTATTCCTGTTCCTGTCAGAAAAAAAGCCTTTGCCTTGCTCAAGGAAGTTCTTCATAGATAGATACATTTTTTTTTATGGATAGACCTAGCCATAATCCAAGTAAGTTAACTTGTCCTTTGATCACAGACTCTGAGAATAATTTTATACTTCAATGCAGACTATTGGCCAAGACCATGACGGACCTTGCATAAAACTAAAGTTTTAAAGCTGTAACTTAGATCTTGAACCTTAACTTTCAAATTCATTAAGGCTATGCCTGTACACTATACCACTCTAGTGAGAGGTCATGGTAATTTGAGCATTTGCTACATTTTCATAGGCAATGGGTGCCACCATCCAGATGTATGGTGGGCTTTGTGAAAATAACTTTAAAATGGAACTGACTCTTTGCTTTCAGTGCTGGAGGATAAATGACCACAGTTATGAGCTCTATAAAAAGAGGCTTAATTCATTGAAGAAAAAAAAAGAACAGTCAATTAACTTGGTCAATAGACTGCCTCATCCCTAATTACACCTACTTGGTAGTGAATGAAGCACCAGGATGGCTGTGGCTATTTTGCAATAAACTAACATCCATTCATTCATTAAATAAATATGAAAATAGGAAGCAGTATTCAGTCTCAAGTGATATAAGTAATCAACAGTTGCCAAATATCCTCTTAGTCCTCTTGGTCATGTTCCTTGCTATAAGGTAGAAAATGAATCAATGACAAGGGTTCTTCCTCCTAAGAAACTTTGTTTATTCAACAAAGGCATTTAAAGCTGGAAAATCAGCAAGGATCAATACAGAGCAGTAGAGATTCAAATATTTCCTTTGACTAGTCACCAATATTGTTACATGATTATCATATATGCAACCCCTCAGACTCAGGTAGAGACACAATGTGAGCAACAAAAAAAAACCCAAAAAGGCAGTCAAGAAAAGTAGTCATGGTTTGACTTTGTGCTCAACTTACAGACGAGTCTCATAATTTGACTCATCAATGCGGCCCAATCCCCAGCCATTCCCCATTGTTCCTACAGAAAACAGATCATGGTAGTCATTCAAATTCCAAGTGAAACAACAACAGTGTTTGTACAAAACACAGCAAGTTACAGTTACAGCAGAGAGGGAGTTGAAAGGACACTAGTTCATAAAAAGTTGCATTCTATCTAGATAGAATGCAATGGATACATTGGGTATGTGGCTGTAACTCAGCCAAAGGCAAATCCCTCCTTAGGGAAATGATCTATCATATAGGGTCTTCCAAAAGTCACTGACACACTTAAAAAATTCATTACCCAAAGTATAGCAATTTTACTTGAGGCCATAGCAAGTATTTGTTCCTATTTTTAGGGCTAGTAATAATAATTAAAAGCTTAGAGCCTTTTTTGGACTTGAAATTCATGCAATGAATTCACACAAAATACTCAAAATGATCATGCTGCCTACTGATGCACTCTCACATTCACACGATTAAGCTTTGAATGTTCATCCAATTTCACTTTTACAGGACCATATCAACAGTAGTCCTCTCAATTTTGTCCTAGACTCTCCACATTGTTAAGCTTATTTGCATAATTAAAAGTCAGAAAAAACTCAGATAAAAAAATGTATGAGAATATTATAATCATATGAGTTTCTTTTTTTTAACAAAATGAGGGAAAATGTCAAATTTTTATTAAAAAATTAGGGTCCCTATTAGTCCTAAAAAAATGAGATTCACTATTATTTCTTTGAATAAAGTTGGAATGCCTTAGTTATAATTTGGGTTGGAAAGACTACATTTTTCAGTTTTCTACATACTCAGAACTTCAGCACAAGAGCAATTCATGTATTATTATGTGCCAGTGATTGACATTTATAGTTTTATAGATTTTCAATCAAATTTCATACTTCATAGCGATGTTTCCCTAACTTTTTATGATTTAAAATTTTTAAATGAAATACTAAAACTTCAATGTTTTGACTTTGAAGGATTGAACTATGTTGTTCAAGGTGCAACACTCCATGAGCAACTTGGTCTATTTTCTGGACAAGGTGAAAATCATTCTAGGCTATCACTTAGGGTCCCCATAATGGTAAATTTTTAGCCATAGGTTTTCATCTGAAAAAAAAAAAGAAAAGTTTTATGAAGAGATATGCACACCAATAAAAATATGAAAATCCAGAAGTGATTCTCTTTTTTTTTCTTGAAGAAAGTACTGTGTAGTTATGCTGCATGCAAAAGTAGTCAGAGGACATACTATGTCTACTGCAGGACCCATCATCTGCTTCCATAAAACATTGCTACTTCCATCCCCAATCCCACAGCAACCACCCCTGGATTAAATTGAGGAAATCTACCTAATAAGTGTTTCCTATGCTATAAATAGTCTTCGGCAACAGATTTTCTTACTTTTTCACCTAATAAGGAGTGAAGAGCTCAGGAAGTTCTTAATTTATCAAATCAGAATCTGGTATTTTTTGTAGTTTCAAGTGCCTGAAATTATAATGCAAATCCCCTGGATTTGAGTAGAGGAAGGTATCTAAGTTACTTTTACTTTTTGTGAAAATTGTAACACAGACACAATTGTTACCTTGCAGAAAAGTTTTAAACAGTCTTGGGAACAAAAGAAAGTCATACTGTGTCAAGTGGCCTGTCTTGGAATGGAAGTGATTGTTGCAGACTCAATTTTATGCATTCCTATTTGTGTCTATAAATATTATTTTCACAGTAAATGCTTTGTCCATACTTGGATTTGTGCATGTCATATCCAGAGAGGGGCGAGGGAGAGAATAGAGGCAGAAAAATAAGTTGAGACTGAAAGTGTGCTGGCTTGAGGGAAGGAGAGAAAAGAATAAAACTGGGGGACTCATACCTGGGTGGGAGGTAAGGAGGGAGAACAAAAATAATGGAATATGAACATGATGCGTGCACCAAAATCAACAGCCAGTGCCACGTGGAGATGCAAGCAGTGGAAGCGCCTCATGCAACACTCCCTCTAAAGATCATACACAACATCCAACCCACCCTTCAGTATACACCTTCAAATCTCAAAAACAACTCATCTCATGACAATGCTGTCAAGAACCTGAACAATAAAACACTTCAAGGAATTCAAAGCCTTGAGTTTATCTTAGATTGTATCCACTTTCAATACTAATCCACAATAGAGAATTACAGGAATAATATTGAGCATACCTGGAGAACGAGGATTAAGAATATTTTTGACAGGAGACCCCCCTTCCTCGTGACGAACAAGTATCTGAGCTTTCTCTCCAGTTCCATTTCCCATTGGCATTCCTTGTCCTGATCCCTCACTCACCTAGACAGATGTAGAGAGGGAAAACTTGAAAATTTCTGACTTCTACTGCCACTGATCCCAAATACTTTGCTCCCATTCCTGAATATATTTTAAGATTTCTGGTCCCATTTCCATTGCTCCCTATCCACCTATGTGCTACTCCTGAATGAGTTTCACTCTTGATCTCTCCCAATTCCTGAAATGGTGGATTAACTGGGTTAGGTTTAACCCCTTGAGTGTTGGTGACAAGCACAACCAGCAGTCTATGTTAACTGATGAAGTGAACTCATTCGTGACCTTTGCTGCAGTCTTGGTAGTGGCAGAAGCAAAGATGCCTTGTCAGAGGTTAGTTAGAGCGATTGCCAGCATTGACATGGCTTGAAGGCAAGATGAGTACATCAGCAATTTCAAGAAGTAGTAGGAGTTAAACTAATGAGTCCATTATACTGTTTCAACTTGTTCTGTAAGTCCATCATGGGAATACCAATGCCCAGGAAACTCAAGCAGCGTCTAATCTTCAATTTGATATCTCAAAATTGAATCCATGTTTCCAGAAACATTGAGGTCAAGGAAATTCCCTACCCATTCTGGATAACCAAAGAAATAAATGTTTATTACTAAAAGCTGCCAAGTGGTGAGGGCTTAAAACAAGGGGCCTCATGGTAAAGGAGAGTCAACTTGTAAGAATATTTTTGGGATGTTATTTTGGCCAAATATATTATCCCCTTTCTGCAGGAGTCAGAGAATATCATTGGCATTGACCACTAAACACTTCAATCTTCATTTCCCTTCAGGCCCATTCAAAGGCCTTACAATTTAGTAGCTTCTCACAAACAACATTAATTTCTTCAGGAATGTAGAATGGCCAGAGACTTCCCTTGACCTCAATGCCTTTGAAAATAAAGAGTTCAATCTCAAAAGTTTGAGTTGAAGATCTGATGGCCCATGATCCCATGGCCCTTCCATGCATTCGTTTTCCTGTGATTGTCTTTGGAATGCATCTGGAATGGAAAGTTATACAACCTCATGAGTTGACACACTTCTTGAATTTCTTGCAGTCCAACTCATCTCACCTTCATGTCATAATTCATGCCAGTAGAGGCCACACAACACTGAAATCTAAGCTGGAAGTTTGGAATTGAATACTTTGCTCAAAAATAGAGCCTGCTTAGCTTTATGATTGCACAGTTCTGCTACTGAAGGGGGAGCTAAGGTTTCATGGCATCCTGTATACATTTTTCTATTAATAAAACTTGTTCTTTTTGGGACAATTACAAGTGATGTTCTTGTAATGAAGCATATTGATTCAATGTACTGCCACTTATTCAATAGGCATTTTGGAGTATGAATTAAAAAATGGTAGTAGGCTAATTTATGATTATAATTACAACTGGAATGACTTAACTCAAAATTAATACTAACATCCTGAAGTATTATATAATTTATTATGGATATTTTAGAGTAATTCATGATTGCAAATACATTTCAAGGTCATTTTAAAATAATTAATATGTAATTTACCTAATATAAATTTTAATTTGTTCAAATGAGGGAAGAAGATTCCATATGCACCTGCATAAGCTTCTTGACCACATCCCTACCAAGAATATGGTCAAACACAGCCTGAAGAAACACATCTGACATGATGGTCAGCTTCAGCTTGTCTCGATGCCATATCAAGAGCTTGGAGTTCTCCACAGCCATCACCGAAACCTAGTCAGTAGTGCACCAATAATAGTCACCCTGAGAACTCATCCTCCAGTGTAGATCATTCAAACTCATATTTGCAAAATGTCTTCTTTAAAAAAAATTTTTTCTCCAAATAGATAGGAAAATATGGATTCATTCAAGTAAATGCTTACAAGAAAATCAATGTTAACTTTTGCATGGAGGATACTAAGTTTTCAAACTGATATTACAATCACATACAGAAAATTTGTTTTTGGAAAAGGGAGCATGAAATGCACAATTCCCCCATCAAAATAAAAACTTAAATTAGGAAAGTGGGGTTTCCACAGGTCTTCCTACACACCTGGAACTTATGGTTGGTAGCAGAAGTGAACCACTCAGGTGAGTCAAGGAACTGGAAGGGAGATACAGTGTGCAGATGTTGCCCCTTCTGTGATACTAAAAATCTGCATCATGGCAACAACAAAAAAAAATACATGTGGTCACAATGATGGAGATTTCCTCCACATCCACAGAAATATATATATATTCTTCATGCCATTTCTCACCTCCCAGAGAGAACAAGAGAAAGGTTTTCCACATGAGACTGGCCCTCTTGAATCACAATCTCTTTGGCACTGACCATATCCACCCCTTTAATACCAGTAAGGATCCTCTTGAATTGGGAACGGCTCACTTGCAATGGAAAGAAGAGCCTCAGGAAGACCTGGGGAAGAAAACAGTTGGAAAAAGACATTAGTGATCACATCTGGCAACTGTGAGTTCATTTGGCAGTTAATTTGACATTTTTAACTCTTCCATTTAAATTTTGGCAATTTGATCAGTCAAATCATATCCATTAGTTTCAGTGATACACTCTAACCAACTACACCCCAAGCTCACAATAATATGGGACCATGTCTTCTGGAGTGGGGCCATTCATATGGCATAGATAATTTGTGAGGCATGTGCATTGACAGGTGAGGAAATCAAGCCTTTTTGTGAGGTAGTTTTGAAAAGAGTCTTAATTAAGATTATTTTCAAACTTACCATATCCATACTTTTCCAAAAAATACATCCATCTTAACCCTTTAAGCACTATAAATGATGTACAGCACACATCATGTTTTATACAGGTTTTACTAGCTATAGTGGCACACAGGAAGGCTGTTTTCTGACTTAATACAGTACACAAAACTTCCTGTGAATGTTTCAATAACTTTCCCTCAAATTTGTGACATATGATAGGTCTAATGGCAGGACGCAGGGTTCAGGTTGCATGCTACTTATGTTACTTACTCAGCAGTGAAAGGGTTAAGATGGGTGTACTTACTTGTTTCTATATTTCCATGAGATCCTATTTCCCCTTGGGCCAAATGGTGAAGTCATTAACTTCCCTAAGACAGCAAGGCATCCAAGTAACATAACTGCTATGACATTTTGTGACCACTGCAATTTAGGATGAACATAACTTGGGTCTAATGATGCTAATGTAATGTCACCATGTCTCAAAAAGACAGCAGCATTGCAATGTCTAAACAAAGCCACTTTCTTGTTTCCCAATGATATCAGTGAGATTTCCTTCAAGACATATATGCGACATCATGTTCTCCACCTGTATCAATTTTTGCCTTCTGACACTTCAAGGAAAAGAGTGACCATTATTCTATGAAGCAATTCAAAGTATTCATTCAGAGATTCATTCGTGTCCCTTTGCAGATGATCTATAAAATCACACTATCACTCATTCCAGTCCCAAAATCCTGGATTTTACTCAGACTTTTAAACTACTGCAATCATGCCAACATAAATTAACATTGAATCTCATTTGTATTGATCCATTACTTCAAGCAAGAGGAAATTGGTTTTGATGATTTTCCTTTAAAAACACTTGATTTATATAGTTGTCAAACTGACATATGTGACCTAACTTCAATTAGCCAACATAATTATTTCAACCCTATATGTCTTGGTGAGTTCAGTATATTAGTACTGGTGGCTATATGACAAAGAGATGAAACCCCTTAGCCATGCCTATGATAATTTTATATGATGGATCTGTTTAGATTCTTCAGCCTCTGATGAGCTGGGCCACCTCACTAAAATGGCATCCTTTCAGCTCACCTGCTCAATCTCATGAGGGAACTTGATGGGCTGCAGTTGGTATGCAAGAGCACTGAGATGGATGAAGTGAAGAAGCATGAAAACAGCACTGAAGATCACAGCATCAAAAGAGCAAACAACCATCCAACCCCAAAGTCCATTGAAGGCACAGCCAACAAATAGAAGAAATCTCACAATCACTGCTTTCACTCCGTCAGTGAAGGGTATTGAATATGCAATAAATAAGATGGCATTTGCAATAAGGAAGAGCCAATGACTCCAGGTCCAATGAGTTAGACAAGCAAAAAGAATAGCTCCCTCCTCATGGAGTTTTATGGCACTGGTGTCTTCCCCCCAGGATGAATTTAGGATGTTGGAAGCTGTAGTACTATTCACATTGTAATGGGACACAAATTCTTCATTGAAGATGTAAGGAGAACTTTTCCCAGATGAATGAAATTCCTCTGTTCCTATATTGTTATTTTCCATAGCAGGTGAAGGTGTTGAATTCAGCCTCAGAAGAGTTATGAGTCCATCAGTTTCATTTGCCTCAGCAGCTGGGTCAGACATCCTTTCAACTGCAAAGAGATCACAGGAAATCCACAAAACTTTGAATACTGTCAATTCCCATCACCAATATAACATATGACAGCCTGTCATACAGTAATATTATTCTCATTTCATGTCACCTCTTGAAAGTGACTAACCTCAGCAAATTCACAACCTTTGGCATTCCAATCCCAGCATATGTGTACTGAGGGGAGCTCTTTTAGGATAGTTCATTTCCTGAAGAAGGCAATGTAGTTGAGGTGGGTTCATAGTAGGCTCTCAACCTGCTGGTCCAGGATTGTCCCCAACTGTGGTTGTTTCCCTTCCTTCCCCCCTCCTTTTCTTCCTGTTATGCCAATGGATTTGGCACAGGTTGCAAAGAGTCATGCAAGAATGGTTAGTTTTGACTTAATGGGTTGGAATAATGTAGGACACCTCATGAAAACCTAAGGGGAGAGGGGAGAGTTTGATAACAGAAGGAAACAAAAAGTTTGACTTTGACCTGCAACTGTAAAACTTCATCTTAATTCAATAAAATTAGGTGTGCACATAGGTGCCGAACCCAGGGGGGCAAAGGGGCACGTGCCCCCCCAACTATATTATTGAGGGGGCAACGCCCCCCCAAGAACGGCAAAATTTCAACAAAGGCACATGGAAAATATAGCACATGGAACATTGAAAACAAAATACTGCTTCACGAAAGAAATGAAAAGTATGATTTTCCTTTCTGTTTTGAGCTCCAACTGGGGGAGATCCCATAGTCACCCCGTACGGGTATGGGGTGGAAGGGCCATGCCCAGCACCCCCCCTACTCGTCACTACGCTACCATAATAATACTGAACTACCCCAATGGATCCTGGAATAACTGTGTCATTGTTATTTCAGGGGCAATAGGAACTTGCCCCCCCAATACTTTTTAAAAGTCGGCGCCTATGGGTGTGCAACTACCTCAAAATGTTCCCTGCAAGCCTGGAATACCATGGTGTTTGGATTTATGTCTGACTGACCTGGATGCTGAAACTACAGTGCCCAAAATTGTAATATTATACATGTTTCCTTGTCACAGGTCTAGAATGCCTAGAATGTGTGCAATAGGCCACGAGACACCATGCCTAGGCTGGTGTCTCGTTGCTTAGGATGCCAAAAGGTAGTCCTACCCATCTGCTGGGGGCACGGTCATTGCCAAACTTATCCTCATCATATGATCTTGGCATAGCCTAGGCCAATCTTAATTCAATAGATGGTCTCTCACCATGAGCCATGGCACTGTCAGCAAACGAAACGCTTAATGCCAGTCTAGACCTGGCAGATCCAAAACCACTGGAGGCCTGAACTTTTCAATGTTTACATCTGTAAGTATATGGATCCACCATGGGCGCAGTCATCGCCCCAGACACGAACCAATGACCCTTGCCCGAAAGGCATGGCCAAAGGAGAGCCAGGATTAGGGTTGCCAGATCGCCCGAACTGAATAATGCTGATGCGCGAAAGATATTAACCATGCTTAAAACGTGCCAAGAACAACACTTCAAGGACTTATCTGCCGCTTACCCCATGCTCTCTTCTCATGGCATAGCACATAGCTGACACTCCCCATGTTTCCCCTTTACTGCTTCCACTAGGACTTGAAACTTTTTGAAGTCCGGAACATTGCATTAACCTTTATCGTACGGCATTTAAATGTCCCTGTGCTGCTTCACGGCCGGTATTTAACTGCGGGTATTTAAATATGAAGTGCAAACACATGCAAGCTTTCGGTATACAATAACAGCATACAAAAAGAGTTGTCCAAGGTATACCGCTTAGAAGGGTATCCGAAGTGTGCGGCCAGTTTAGTGACCATTAGGCGGTCTGGCAATACATTCAGCGTTAAGTGTACTTATCTTTCGGCCTATAAAGGTTAAACTCGCAGGAAAACTGTAAAACCTGGAAACAAACAGCACATGCAGAGGTCATTCCACCAGGCCCCTACCATCTGGAACAAGTCTGTACCCACTCATCTATACAATGCCCAAACCAATAAAACTTTCTGTCATGCGCTCTATCTGCACCTTCAAGACCAACTTCATGTGTCCTTCTAGGGAACAAGCTGCCTCTTTTTCTTCATTTTTCCTCAATCATATTTTGTCACAACCTATCATTATTAAATTTTTTTAAAACTCTCCTCGTGTGTCTCTCCTTTCAGGACTACCAACCCATGGGTTGCACTGTATATTTATGCTAGCAGCTTGTACATTAATTTATGTCCAGAATAAAGTGTTATTATTATTGTTATAAGTTCGTACATCTTATTTGTAGACTACTCCTAGGGAAGACGAATTTGTGGATGTAGGAAGCGCGAGAATCCTGAGGTCCTAGCATTTTACAGTTCTACTGAATTAATTCAGAAAGGGGTTATCATCCGGATGCTCAAAAAGTCTTTAGATTTATCATTATTAATCACCTTGTTGCTAAACACAACATCGGTGCCAGAAACTATAATGTAGTTTGTTAATGAGTAATAATGTTAATAATGTCAATTGGCCGAAGCATGGAATGCTCCATGTGTACCTCATTTTCTTTTCTTCATGTTTCTGCTCCCTGTTTCCCATAGTTCAATACTGTACTTATAGAGGGTTCCTGGCAAGCAAGAAGATCAAGTGTACTACGAAGTATGATGATTTCTTAAAATACCAAATGCACACAGCTACATGAAAGCAGCAGAGCCAGAAGGAAGGCCTACGGCATGGACCTGCATGTGCAATCATGGTTTGGAGTTGGCCCTCATCCATAGCATCATGATCACTTCGCGTCATCCTGGACCCGAGTCGACGAACGGAATGTTCCAAAAAAGGCATGACAGCAGACATTAATTAGGGAGCAAAAGAAACGAAACGAACGCTGGAGACATACGGAAGGGAAGTCACGTCTTTCTGAACGGGATGTATTTGCATATTATTGAGTGACGCAAGGAAAAGGCTTATATTTTGGGAGAACCCTGGCTGTTCATTTATCAACTGTACTATTTAGTACCCCCTTCACATGCATGAGAATTGGAGCAATATTCTGGGATCATCATTCGTCAAGACATCATGTAGTCTCAAAAATAAGCTTTCTTTCTAATCCCGCCTTTTCCCTTCCGCTCTCCGTTTTCCGTCCTCCCTTCCTCAAAAAGAAATTAAGTAAATGAATGAGTTCACCCATAATTCATTGGTGTGGAATAACAAAACTCCTCGGGAAAGAGTAAACCTGGAACACTGCATTTTCCCATGTTTCTCCATGGCAGCCCAAACACGGTATGGAAGAAAAAACCACGTGACTCCCATTATACCCACCCACGCATCCCTCCGACCACGATTCCGCCCTCCCTCTGAGACGGGGTGAGTATTTCCTTCTCATTTAGTTACACGGCCGACACGATCACATGAGGACCACCAAGAACTAATCCTACATTCATTACCAAAAAACTAGCCTCGCCGTCCGCACAGAGGATACCTTTCTCTTTCCGTTTCCTAAACTTCCTGCACGGATGTGAGCGTCTGGGACGACGTCCACGGATAGGGTGAAGGGCGTGAAAGAGAGTGAAAGCGAGAGAGAAGGCAGGCAGCCATGTTGGGATAGAGACCCAAGACGAAGAGAGAAGAGAGTCTTAATTTAGATCAAGGGGAGAGACCTGGCCTGAGCTCAGAGAAAGAGGGAGATCCAGGTACAGAGGTCGCACGGAAACACCTTCCACTCCTTCCTCCCCGGTCATACGCTTACGTGAACGAGAAGGGAAAGGTGTGAAGGGAATGGGGTGGAGGAGCCTGACCTGTGTTAATGCCTCGTGACTCATGAGGGTCATTTCTCAGACCATCCCAACGCTCCTCTGCCTCTCTCTGTGTCTTCTTATCCCTGGTATTCCGGGTCTTAAGAGACCCGAACCTGAACCTATCATCGAGGATGTGACTGCTAAGGAACTCGAACAGCTCCTCCAGCACAAGGACTATGTCGCCGTCTTCTGGTGTAAGTCTACCCTAATAGAAGATCTTCCAGAGCAACCCTGCCCTCTCGGTGACTTGACCAATAACCACCGGCAATTCGACAGATAGTAGTCTGGGACTTCCCGGTGTTAAAAACAGGGACCAGAGAAAGGCTCCTCCCCAGATCGAATTTTAGTCATACGTGAGAAGAGAGCAGAAGAGATAGGAGCTTAAAGAAACAGGAAGAACGGAACGGAAGGGGAAAGAAGCCTGCTCTGGATGCTACCCGCCCTGCCACTTATTGCAACCCTACCGAATGTACTATCTTTAGCAACTTTCCTAAAACCATTCTCACTCTGCAGACCTTCGGAACTTCGCGAACCCCTTCACAATCATTTAACCTTTTCCAGCCAAAATTAATATCTACTCTCCATGTAAAAAATGTAAAAAATTTAATTTAACAATTAATTTAAATAAAAATATAAAAACCAACTCATAAAAGTACTAGAATAACAAACTACGACACCAAATGGAGTCATAGGCTTAAAGCAATGCCTTTATATCTATAATTTTACCATGACACCATATGGCATCATTGGGCTGGAAAGGGTTAAATTGTAACTTTTTAATGCGAGTTAAAAATTAAAAAAAAACGCCAGTGATTGCACGCCATAGGGGCTCCAAACGGGGAGGGAGAAAGGAAGGTATATACCCTCAACTTTTTTACTTTTTTTTATAGCAAAATATGGTTGTGATCGGCACCTATATCTGTCGAGATGTGTCAGTTGTCTCGACTCATATCGCTTTGTCAAAAATTGAAATACAAGGTGCTTTAAGATGGTAATATTATTTGCTACCTTCTCACTATCTATTTAAAAAATTATGATAATAATAGGCATTTGTTTGTCTTTCAGGCTGCACTTCTAATTTCATCTCTACATATAGGGCGTATTCACTTGGCGAGGAGTAAAACTACTCGAGGTTAAAACTCCCTAGTTCAGTGCTTCCCAACCGGTTGTTCCGCAGCACACTTGAGTGCCATAAGTAAGGCTCTCGTGTGTCATGAAGTTTTAGAGCCGAGAATAAAAAACATCAAAATTTCAAAATAATTTTTTTTTCCAGCTGACCACATTTCCCTGTTCCTTGCACCACCCCATCCAGAGCTTTGTGTTCCATGGAAAATTTTAATGTCCTTATGCGTGCCACCAATTAAAAAAAAAGGTTGGAAACCATGCATTATCATTTTCATACATTTTCATATTTTGTATGCAAGGTTGAGAATTATGGTCTTAAGAGAGGCCTCTCCAACAACAGACGATCTTCTGGAAGATGTTTTCTTCCCGCAAGGATTAAGAGCGGCAAAATGAGAAACTTGGCAAATGTGACTTTCACAAATGGTATGCGTGTACAGGATGTGCGAATGTATCTAAATGTGAAAATCACACTTCCATTGACTGCAGTCAGCATCAACTTACCGAGACGGATCGAAGAAAGGATCTTTGTCGAAGTGACCATCCTAAGACAGTGTTCAAAGTAAGGAAAACTATGTACTCCAGCGCTAAAATATTAAGCTCGGTTCATGAACAGAAGAGCAAGAACTAAAAAATAATGGGGAACACCAGAAGTTCACCCCCTCTCTTGCGAAACGGTGTAAGTGTGGGATCACTCTCCGAAACCAATAAGTAAGATTACTTGGCGTAAAAACTGCCTGCAAGACGAGAAATTCAGTGAGAAACCAAGCGATTGGGGAAGCGATTTGCACTCCAACCTCAATATTTAATCATCTACTTCCAACTATGAGCATACAATCTAGAAAGAGACCTTATTTCCTATTAACTGTCTACGCTACAGTCATTGAAACCTGCATCGTGGAAAGGTGTATCATTTTCAAAGCATGACAATTACCTGGTGCCATGCTTATGAACGTGTGAAGTAAAACAAGGCAATGCAGTGAAGAAAACCATGCTGAATTCTTAGACGCGAGGATAAGGCCATCTGTAAAGCGTAAACATTCTCATGACTGTCGGAGCAAGAAGACCCTGAATAAGTTTTCTTTTCTCAGCAGATTGCTTTTATTTCATGCCTTTCCGGTATCCCTCACTTTCTGGAACTCATTATCTTGACCATTTTGGTGCTAAACACAAACACATGAGGTTGGAGCTGTTGCGATTTGTTATGAGTATTCCAGGAAATCATTAGGCTGTACAGCAGTGTTTTATCATTTCCAAGTGACGGGATCAAAAACTTATCTGTTTCTCCTGAATCCTAAGGGCAGGAAATGTCTTCAAAATGCTGAAAGCTATGACGGGAGAGTAGCCGGATACCTTTCCTCACTGAATACAATACCAATCCTTAAAATAAAAAAATAAGAGATGAAAATAAAATAATGGGTGTATATGTATATTATTACCCGGAAACTCTATACATATAGAGAAAGGGTTTATGGGTATGCGACCCCTAAGTCCCTCTCTTTTGAGAAAAAAAGTGAGAAGGGAGTGGAAACCGCTCTCTGGAAAGACGTTTCTGAATGCCTCGTGTGATTGGAACGCGAATTCTATGCCTTGCAGTCTTCTACCCTTGCTTTTGGGGACGTGTTCCCACACCAATCTTGCTCTTTGCACCAAAGGGTTTCAGATTACCATCTATCCTCCATTACGCACTACTCATGCACAGTATCCACGGGCAGAATAGTAAAAGAATTCAATATCGAATAACACTTCCCTGGAAATGTTAAGGTGGTCTTGCACGTGGCCATGGCCATGGATGTCTAAATGTCTTCACAGGGATAATTATGTGTACTTTGAAGGGTTAGTAATTATTCCCATTTACAGTGTCCAACAAGCAAATAGAAAATGAAATAGACAGCAGGGGAGCAGAGATGATTCTAGACGTCCTTCCTACCCTCTTTGGCCCGAAAGGGGTTTCGCATTTCTGTCTGAATAAGACGATTAAAGAAAGGTCTTCGGTGAAGTTCATTCACAAATGAACGCATAAATGACACTCGTGGCTCGATTCTGTCTGATGACGTGCAACGAGGTCTCGGCAAACAGGAGCAGATTTAGCAAATTCAAAATCGTGCCGAAAAAATCAAGGACGAAGAATGAACGGGGAGGGGGGGGGGGGGAGGGGCATAAGAGGCCTTTGCTTGTCAGCGTGGAGACGCCTCCGCTACTCGGGCGGATCAACTGCTGTCAGAGAATTCCGAGCTTCTCCCCCGTCGCTTTTGAGTTACGACCTCGTGCACATCCGCATCTCCGTTCGTCTCGAACTCCTAAGGAATTTCTTGCCTGACGATTGACGAATATTGGACGGAGCCAAGGCCAATACCAGTAAGGTATACGAGACCACCATCTTTGCTCTCTCGTCCCGAGTTCGTTTAGGCTGGGCATATACTGTATGATTGAAGGCAGCTTGTTTACATTCCACTCCCAGATAACCATATCTTCATTGCAATTCGGTCTACTACCTCCTTAGGGCCTTTTCGAATCCTTATTAAATCGGAAAATGATAACGCCAAGAACCGCTGCTGTATTTTTATTTTCAAAGCTGACCCTTCCCACAAAGGCTTCCGGAAAAATCTTTTCTTTTGGGAGGAAGAGCGGATGGCACGTTCAAGAGGGGAACGAAATCCTTGCGAAAGCCTCCTTATCCGTTTCCTCCAGTGTTTTCGCATTCTTCCCCTACTTAACCTTGCAGAAAATGCAGGAGAATGATGTGGCATTCGAGCCAAGTCGAGTGTTCTATTCTGGGTCGGTTGTATCCTTCCGTGCAGATACGAAGCGATGCCCCACATGCGACAAGACGCTCATTGAACTGGAAAAAATCGACGATGACACGGACAAGTTCGGCGTGGATTTCGTCAAGATCGGGGACAAGAAATACGCAAAGCAGAAGGGGGTCACCACCTTCCCGACCCTTCAGTACTATCGCAATCAGGAACCCATCTCTTACGAAGGTATCCAAAGGCAACAGTTCTATTTCGCGCTGGTGATTCCACGGGTATGCTCCCCGTATAAACATAAAAGGGATGATTCTTCGAAGGGGACCTCATGGACGAGGAGAAGGTGTTGCAATTCCTCACGAGCCTGGATGCGATGGAATTACCTGATCAAATCGAAGAAGTCAATGCACCGATCTTGATGAAGATCGTCCAGGAACAGCCTTTCGTTTCCGTCCTTTTCTGTGAGTTTCTCTCATTTCCAACGAATACCCTCATCAGGAAAGGAATAAGGGATGGAATGAGAAAGAAACGAGAATCATGCCGTCGACTTATCCATCTCGCACAGGTCCAGACGAAAAGTCGTGTGAGAAGAAAAGTGAGTCTCCCTCTAAAATACAGTATATCCCCCCTGTCGTACTAAAATCTCCATGACACAGTATCTCCACCTAATTCTTCTTCGTCAAAGTAATAATTTGCATCTACGATGCCTTCCAACTCACGACTTTACGTTCATTCGCTTCCAATGCACAGCCGAATGTTGGGATGATAATGGACTTAGAAAAAGTAGTGCTATGACCCTGTCCTGTTTAACATTCTACCAAGAAGTCAGGGATACGGCAATAATCACCCACTGAGGGTACTACTAAAAGTCAGTGAAGAAAACAGTAGGCTTAGTCGATGTCCCTCACCACTTCTTTCCCTTTCGCTCATAACTTCCTTTTAATATTGTTGCATTTGTTGTTGCTATTGTTGTTTAATATCGTAATATTATTGCATTCAAATGATGGCATGCATGGGAAGAGCGCTGACATAGAAGCAGCAATGACTGTCATTCCACTGTGCACTCAGCGAGAGGGAGGAAAAAGCCGAGACAGGCAGGAAAATGCAGGAAAATAAATTACTCTCAGGAGAGTTAAGAGGACAGCACAAGAGAAGGATCGGGTGAGATCACGCCCCTAAGAGCTATTAGGAGGCAAGGTTTCGATGCGGAAGAAATCGCTTGAGAAGACAATTAATCTTAGGATAGATCCATTCAGTATTTGCAACAGTGGAAAATCTACGCATGAGGCCATCGAGAACAACCGTGGCTTCTCAAAGAAGAACCGATTCGCATCGGAATTCCATTTGGAGGACATACCGTTTGTATCCCGTCATGAAAAGTGGAGAGCATCTCCATGCGATTCGCATTCAAACCTGAATTGAGGTTTCAGCTTAGTATCAAGATATCATTTAATAAAGTATCAAGAACAAAGTATCATGAACTAGTAGATAAAAATGAAGCTTTCAGGTGGAGTACAATAGTCACTCTATTCACAGTTGTGAATCCACACTGTGATCCAAATATGAATGGCTACTATTGTGCGAAAGTGTTGGCTCCAGGCACAGATTACTGTAGGTGGGTTTCTTCCATCCGGTTGCGTTAAAATTCGCGAGTAGATTGTTCTCTATTCAACATAATTTAAAATGGGAATCCCTATAAATTACTGGCTGAGGAGCGACAAATTAGCTTCGAGGAAGTTGATTTCAGAAGTTTTAGCCTTCGCTATTGCCAGGCAAGCATAATAATTCAATGGCATTCTTCGTAATGATTATGCCATTGTTCTGGCAAATTAATGAGGAAGGGCTTTCTCGACTTAGATGATTTGACAAACGCTTTGGATTCATCTAGTTAATTCGAAATGCACATGCCTGGTGATTGCACCCAATATTAACACTTAAGATCGAGCATGTTCAACTTTCAACTGCGAGTACAGGAGACGGATACCTCTGACCACCATGACCGTGCTTAAAAGCCATCTGGCGATGAAATTCATAAGTTTTTTCAACAAACACCTTGCATTTGCATAGAATGGAATTATGGCAATGCCATGGGAGAAAGGCGACGAAAACCAGGCAAGGCTCCTCGCCTTATATATGGTTATAGAATTTGTCTACTAAATTGGGAAAAAGTGAGGTCCGAGAAGGTATAGCTTCCCAGGTTTGCCATGTTCTGCTTTGAATACATAATATAGGAGTACATTCTCCGCAGTGTAAAGTACTTGAATCACGATCAGCAGATTCATGTCTTACAGTGTGGCTGCTACTGTTAGTGCTACGGCACTCGTAGTTGGTGAAGGTCCAGCATGGGGAATAGGCATTTACAGAGGAGAAAGTTGGGGAAGACGTCTTACAACGATCGTCAAGCATGGCGACATACGATGTGTATCGATGATAGATAATCGACTAGCAACAATTTTCTGAGGCAGTTTTTTTTACATGAATAGGACCTTTAGCGTGGAAAGTCGTAAGTATCAAATAATCGTATAAGTATCACATCGTAATGTCGGAGCAGTAATTGTGACCCAGTGAGTGGATACAGACACCCTCACGATGACATCCTAAAAGAGACCATTTCTGGTCAACGATATCTTCCAGAATTTTACCACCTTTTTATTATATTCTGAGAAACGAGTTCTAAGAAAAAGCCCAAAATAGAATTCGAATCTAGTAGATCTCCATCCAGATCCGCAATAAAAATGTTCATCTGATGAATTCGAAAAATATTCGACGTGGTTAAATACTGTAGCTACAATAAATCATACTCGAGTTAGTAACTGGTAACTCTCTGAATGTTCGGGCTAAGTGGTTTTTCATGCTTCGTCTGTCGTCGTCCGATCATGAAAACACGAAAAACGGTTATTGAGCTACAAATTTCCCTGAGAAACAATGAGGATATAAATAGCGCATTTAGGGGGGCTAGACACGGGGCTGACAAAAGAATAAGGAAAGCCAATCTGGCTATGGACGACTGGAGCCACAATGATTGGATTCGTGGTTATTAGCAATTAGCCCTTCTCAAGTGAGACTGATGACCCCTTTCATTTTCTGCCTTCTTATGACTTGACGAAAAAGAGACACAAGCAGTCGTACAGTATGTGGATAGAAAGGAAAAGAGACAAGGAGGCCGGAATGAAGAAAAAGGTTATTTTTAGCCCTCTCTTCCATGGCCGGCCGGGACTCATCTCCTGTTTGGCTGGCTCTCGTCTCTCTTTCGCAAACCTTTCTCCTGCTTCCATGACTTTCAATTTCGCATATCATCGTGGGGACTGTAGATGCGAAAGCATGTCGTCAATGCGAGAAGGCGCTGAAGGAGCTGGAGAACATCGACGACGAGGCGGATCAATTGGGGATCGCGTTCGTGAAGATCAACGACGAATCTCTGGCAGAGGAATACAATCTGGGGAAACTGCCAACGTTGGTCTACTACCGGCATGGGATCCCCATCATCTACGATGGGGATCTAATGGAAGAGGAAGCCGTGCTGGAGTGGTTGGTGACCCACAAATCGACTGGGGAAGAGGATGACGTCATCGAGGAAGTCACAGCCAAGACCCTTGACACCCTCATACATTCTGTCACCAACCTCGCCGTCCTTTTCTGTCCGTCTCTTCTCCTTCATTCTAATTTCATTCTCGTTGGATTTGATTCGAGCATCCGTTGCGGGTGGTTGCATTGCTGACAGATGACGGGAACGACAAGAAGAGCCAGGAAGTGCTGGAGGAACTCGAGAACATCGACGACGATTGCGATGCCAAGGGGATCCAATTCGTTAAGATCGAGGATCCAAGAGCGGCCCAGGACTTTGGGATCGATTGGCGACCTCGTCTAGTCTACTTCGAGAATTCCATCCCCTCCCTTTATGACGGAGACCTGATGAAAGAAGAGGAAGTCTTGGATTGGCTCCTGAGTCAACTGGTGTCGGATGAGATCGAAGACATCACCGACGAGATGCTGGATCGCCTCATCGCCCGCACCAAGCACCTTGCCGTTCTATTCTGTCTCTTTCTCCCTCTTTCTCTCGTGGATTTATACTCCCATGAATGAGATTTTTGATTCTGATGACATGTGATGTAGATTCTCCCAAGGACAAGGCGTCGCAGAGGGCTCTCAAGGACCTGGAGACGATCGACGACGAATGCGACGAGCACGGTATCGCCTTTGTCAAGATTCACGATCAAAAGGAAGCCGAGGAATATGGGATCGACGTCATTCCGTCCCTGGTCTACTTTGAGAATGGAATCCCCTCCCTCTACGACGGGGATTTGACGGAGGAAGAGAAGGTCCTGGCCTGGTTAATCCGTCAGGTGGAAGAGGATGAGATCGAAGATGTGACTGACGAGATGCTCGACCTACTCATCGCTCGTTCGAAGTTCCTCGCCGTCCTCTTTTGTACGCATTTCTCCCATATTCCGTCTCGTTCCTTCATGGACAAGGGGGAAGAATGCCATTCGTGATTCGAATCCAGATGAGAAGGGGTCGAAGAAGAGCGAGAAGATATTGAATGAGCTGGAGAACATAGACGACGAGTGCGACGAGCACGGGATCGTTTTCGTTAAGATCTCGAATGAGGACGAGGCGAAGGAGTACGGGATCGAACGGCTCCCATGCCTCGTCTACTTCGAGAACGAGATCCCCAGCGTCTACGACGGGGATCTCATGAAGGAGGAGCAGGTTCTAGAGTGGCTTATCCACCAGGTGCAATCGGACGAGATCGAGGAAGTCACCGACGAGATGCTTGATAAACTGATCCAGGAACAACCGTTCCTGGCCGTCCTCTTCTGTAGGCATATACTTCCTTTCTCCTTCTTCTTCCATCTCGGCGTCTCTTCGCGAAGGTCGTTGTTTCCTCAGACGAGAAAGATGATTCAGAGGACCAAGGAATCCTGGGGGAGCTGGAGAACATCGACGACGAATGCGACGAGAACGGGATCGCATTCGTGAAAATCGACGACCGAGACGAGGCCAAGGAATATGGGATCGATCACCTCCCGACTCTCATCTACTTTGAGAACGGAATCCCCAGCATCTACGAAGGTAGGATAGTACCACGAGATCTATCATAACAGAAGTAATTCATTTAGAGAAACCTCTTGTTTAGGAAGGCGAATGCCAAGACATGGATATAGGCGACTGAACTATTAGATGATTGTGAAACGAGAAAGCTTCATTAAGAGACTGAAACTCTAGCAAATCGATTTCACATGAGCCTTATACAGTATTGGGACATGAATGTCGTGTTCCCTAGTCCTGTTAGTATTGTGTAGACGGAAAGGTAAAGTCTCATTATAAATCTACAGGAAACGATGGAGCTTTGGCCCTTACTAGCGGCAAACAAGTAAGCGCTGGAAACCCCAAAAGGTTTTTTTTTTTTTCCTGGGAAATCTCATTAATTGCAACCCTTAGAAACCTTCACCGAAAAGGTTTCGCCTGGAATGCCTCATCAACGATGATTGTCCCGCTTTTCCGTTCGAAGTCACCGATTCTGTTGCATTGCCTACGTCGCAGCTACCATAATAACTACTATAGGATGATCAAAAAGTCTCGCAACCCATGGGAATATTCAGTATTTTTAAATCAAATTAATCTATGGTTGCACTTCTTAACTTCTGGTTTCAATGTAGTGTTTCACAGCAAAAATTATTCGCTGAATCGATAGCATTGTCACTCCTCACCTGCAAAAAAAAATTATTACGCAAATATAGATGAACAATCACTTGTCCCATGGGTGGCGGGACTTTTTTGATCACCCTGTATTTTACTTAAAATAAAATTTTTGGTAGAAAGGGGGGATGAAAATGGCCTAAATGAATGAACTATGTAATGAATGTGCACATACATGTCGATTGCAAAAGGGGATCTGTCGAACGAGGAAGAGGTCCTGAAATGGCTCCTGCTACAGAAGGCAGAAGATACGATCGAGGAAGTCACCGACGAAATGCTCGAGAACCTCATCAAGGACTTCAACTACATCGTCGTCTACTTCAGTTCGTGTCTCCTTCCGTCTCCTTTTCCTTCAGGGCTTCTTCGGGACGAAGGTGTTTTGTTGTAGCGGGTGAGGAATGCGACGAGGGAGAGGAATGTCACAGGATCCTGGAGGAATTGGAGAATATCGACGACGAGACGGACGATTTGGGTATTCAATTCGTCACGACTGATGACCTGGACGTAGCTAAGAAGTACGGCGTTAGCAAGTTCCCAGCAATCGTCCTCTTTCGCAACGGAGAACCTCTCCTCTACGATGGTCAGATTCTGCCATCGATCAGTAAGAAGCAGACCGATGAATGTTATGGTTAGTGATGCGGTACGATGCGATGCGACAGGTCCCCTGGACGACGAGGACCAGGTGCTTGCATGGGCCACGGATCCCGAGAACCTGGAAGTGGAAGATCGGATCGAGAAGGTGAATGCCAAGATGCTTAAGAGGCTCCTCGACTCTGAGGACAATATCGCCGTCTACTTCTGTACGATATCATTTCTCTCTCTTTCACTCACTCTTGAGTATGTCGTAGTCACAGCTGTCCCAGCTGTATTCCCATCTCCAGAAACATTCTGGGAGTAGGTGAACTCATTGCACTTCTTGGCAAAGTTCTCTGGACGAGAAGATGAATGAGTGCATTGTAGCTCCACGAACAACAGACGACAGGACTCAATATGATATTTAAAAGAATTGGCGAAGTTGCCAAATCAAACTCTTCTTTCAGCCATGAAAGAAACTCTCAAGTCCCGTGTACACATATTCGTTTTCAAAGTATTTGTTGAGAAAGACAGTGAGACTTTCTTGTTGATATGAATCATTAATGCATTTGGGGAAAGCCCAAAGTTTCTTACATTGCAATGGGGAAGAGTTCGATCGACCCTATGAAACCAATGCCATAGTAGTGCCTCACATCAATATTATACCAGCTGATACTGTCAGAATATTCCTGAGATTGGCTGTATTTTTAGGAAAAAACCTCCTGATGCGTACTGTACGCGTGGTCTCCTCTTGTAGATAAAGAGGGGGACCGAAAGAGCGAGAGAACGCTGGGAGAGTTGGAGAACATCGACGACGAGTGTGATGCGGCGGGGATCGACTTCATCAAGATCAGCGATGCTAATGCAGCCCGAGACTACGACATCTTCTCCTTCCCCACCCTTGTCTACTTTCGACGCAAGTTCCCCCAGATCTACGAAGGTGAGTGCGATCCAGTCCTTATCCCAGTCTTCCATTTCGTCGATTTTCATGGCCATCCGGTGGATGCGTGTGTTTGGTTCAGGGGATCTGATGGACGAAGAGACAGTGCTAGAATGGCTACTTAACAACAAGGATGCGACACCTCAAAACGACATCATTGACCTCGTGGATCGAGGCATGCTCAAGATGCTCCTCCAAGACTACGCTTATGTCGCCGTCTTCTTCTGTAGTGTACCACTTTCAACGACCCTCTGTCTCTCATTCTTCCCGAACATCGACATGAATATCTTTCTTTCCTCTTCCTTCTGGAAGATGACCAGGGGTGCAAGAACTGCGAGAGGATCCTGGAGGACCTGGAAACGATCGACGACGACACGGACAGGCATGGGATTCATCTGGTCAAGCTGCAAGACGTTGAATATGCCAAAGAATTGGGGATCACCGAATTCCCCTCCCTCGTCTATTTCGAGAACCAAATCCCTTCTCTATACGAAGGGGATCTATCGGATGAGGATTCGGTCTTGGAATGGCTCATCTATCAAAAGGTGGAAGACACGATAGAGAACATCAATCGGGATATGCTTCAGGTCATGGTACAGAACACAGAGTACCTCGCCGTCTTTTTCTGTGAGTTCCCTCAAATAGACAAGGCTCCTTTCCAAAGTATTAAGGCCACTTATGGTCCCGATCTCATGTTTGTGCCTGCTACATAGATCGTTGCCGAGCGAAAGTGGCCGGCATTTGGTCCTGGTGAAAAATGAACCACGAGGGAAATTTTCGTAGCAAAGGAACATTCTGAAACTCGGCCAGAAAGAGCCCATGCGGTGGGAATTGGAGGCCTCCATCGGCCACCACCCTCCGTAAAGAAATTCTATGGTGGGATCCCAACAAGGAATGGGATTGAAACATGAACAATAGCAACGAACTCTTGCAGATTGAGTTGTCCACCTATTTTCATATGGCAGATGAGGTCGAGGCGTAAGGAAATGATAGGTACACAATCGTAAAAATGGAGCAGGAATATGCAAAATATTCCCTCGCAAAGCGAAAATCCCCTTTCGGTATGCTTCTTGAAATAAATATGCCCCTTTCTGAATCCCTGACAGCGCCTATAAGCGTTCGATTCACTCTCTTATCAGGGGAAAGCCATAAAGGAAGATCATGGACACAGATTCGCTAAATTTCTCCATGAATGTCACTTTCTTTCTTTGAAATTGCTTCTTTTTGGGGTATTAAATATATCACTCGTTTAAAGCATTAAATGAAATCAGGTCAGGGTTCTACAACTCGTTTTTTATTTATCCAGGACTGAGGAGCACAGTACTTAGATGTCACCGTATCGTAAGAAAATTATGTTAAAGCAAGAAGGTGAATATTTGTAGAAACAGAAAGGTTTCTACTTGCCTCTTTTTCTTTGCCAGTGTCTCTGTAGTGATTCCCTCTTCGCCTTTGGAATTTTTTTTTCTGATTACAGTCAAACCTCTTTTTAATAAACATCTTTAAAGTAAAACTCCATTGCTAATAAAGTTTTCTTTGGAGTGGCCAGATTCCCTGGCCTGATATTGTCTGTGAGTAAAAAAAAAAAAAGTTTAACTTCGTTGCGTTAAATTTCGCATTTGAGAAAATGCGAAATTTAACAATAACAGCTCTACACGTTGCTATACACGATGACCTTTTGGGGAAAAATACGTCGACATTAGAGCAAAGTGGGTCCTGGCACAGGTTCTATTTTCTTACTCCGATGGTTTGGATTGTAAACAAACTTAGAATCTCAAGTCCCTAGTGCCCTATTTGACTCCGCAGCAAGCTCAGATCCCCTGTGGTTGATGAAAATAAGAGAAACTGTGATGTGAACGCACACCGTTACCGTTGGTTTCGCTGTCAAGCTCAGCTTTTAACTTCCAATGGATGGAATCTGCAAGTTGGTTAAGAACCTGATACGGAAAAAACTGTAATTGAGGAGTAAGAGCTAACTTTATGATCTGGCAAAGTTTCAATTTTATTACTGGAATGGTTGAGGCTGGGGCGAGTAGAAGTGGTTAAAAAAAAAAGGCGCAGACATGTAAAAGAGACGATGGGTACAAGCCCATACACACAGAAAATTCAGTGCCTCAGTTCGATGCAATTTTCTCGCGAAAAAATCTGTCCTGTATGTGATGCGTCTTTATCGCATCGAATTTTGGATGCGATAAAAACGCGCATCACATGGAGGACAACTTTTTTCTCGACGAAAATGCATTAATTTGATTCTGCGTGTATAGGTCAGGTATATTATGCGCTTCTGCCGCATTGAACATTTCGTGATGAACTTCAGCCACATCGAAATTTGCCTTGCATGTCCTATTGTGGGAATATAGTGGCTTTTGAGCTTAAAGCCTGAATACACGAACCTCATTTAGGGGAGACAACGGGGCTTTTAGCGAAGGAGTTATTTTTCTCCCATAGGAACCCATGTATTCTCAAAGGACTGTTAAATTTCCATAGTTAACATTCGGATCTCGTTACGATACATCTTGCGATACGTGTTGCACCACCAACGCACCAAACGGAATACAAACACCGTATGAAACTGGACTCGAATAATGAAGTAAGGGAATCCCTTCCAGACGCTCGAGCTACTCGCACGGGTCGCAGGGAAGGTGAAGTGGCGAAGAGGCCATGCACTCAGGCGGTTGCGTGTGAATCCCTTGGCTGTCAATGCATTGCCCCGAGGGTTCATGGGGGAGGGAGGGAGGGAGGGGGCTTCCTCTTTCACGATGAAATGGAATACGGAGGTTAACATGTGTCTAGACGATGCGCAGCCACTCAAAACACCCTTCCGACTCGGCTATAGACGCATTTTGGTGTTGCGAACCACATCGAAATTTGCCTTGCATGTCCTATTGTGGGAATATAGTGGCTTTTGAGCTTAATGCCCGAATACACGAACCTCATTTAACATTTTCCACTCGAATTTTTGCAAGAGTCAATGTACCAATGGGCGAGTATACTCGCCCATTCGAGTGGAAAAGGTTAAGGGAGACAACGGGGCTTTTTAGCGAAGGAGCTCTTTTTATCCCATAGGAATCCATGTATTTTTAAAGGACTGTTAAATATCCATAGTTAACAGTCAGATCTCATATTGGCGATACGTATTGCGCCACCAACGCACCAAACGGAATACAAACACCGTATGAAACTGGACTCGAAGAATGAAGTAAGCTGTTACATGGGAATCCCTTCGAGACGCACGAGCCACTCGCACGTGTCGGAGGGAAGGTGAAGTGGCGAAGAGGCCTTGAAGAAGATGCACTCAGGCAGTTGCGTGTGAATCCCTCGATTGTCAATGCATTGCCCCGAGGGTTCACGGGGGAGGGAGAGAGGGAGGGGAAGGGGCTTCCTCTTCACGATGAAGTGGAATACGGAGGTTAACATGTGTCTAGACGATGCAAGGCCACTCAAAACACCCTTCCGTCTCGGCTATAGACGCATTTTGGTTTTGCGAACGCCTTTCAGGCGACCCTGCACGGTCGGGAAGCGAGAGATATAAATCGAAAATCAAGTTGTCTTTTTCTCTTNCAGGCGACCCTGCACGGTCGGGAAGCGAGAGATATAAATCGAAAATCAAGTTGTCTTTTTCTCTTGAGAAAAATAAATCGAAACGCGAAAATTGAGAGAAGTATTTCATCTCGATTTACCGATTTCTCTGAGTGTAACGTGAATGCTGTCAATGCAGATAAGGAGGATGATGCAGATTGTACGAGAGCATTGAAGCACCTGGAGACGATAGATGATGATGCATCCGAATATGGGATCGAGATCGTGAAGATGCAAGATTCCCTCGTGGCCAAGAAATACGGGTGGAGGAATCCCCCCGGACTTACTTATTTTAGGAAGGGAAAAGCCCTGAAATACGACGGGGATATCTACGACGAGGAGGAAGTCCTGGACTGGCTCACAGATCCCGAAAACATGGAACTCACCGACCACATCGAGAAGGTCAACCGGAAGATGTTTGAAAAGATCCGACAGAGATCCGACCACGTAGCAGTCTATTTCTGTAAGACGGAGCCCGAGCCTCATCTCTCTCACTCTCCCTATCTTCACGTATTCAATTATCCATTCATTCACTGTTGGGGAGGTTAGACAGTGACAGCAAGTGTAAGCAGTGCGAGAAGGTGCTACAAGGACTGGAAAACATCGACGACGAAGCGGCGAATGCGGGGATCGATTTCGTCAAGATCGACGACATGAAGATGGCCAAGGACTATGGGATCCACGCCTTACCGGCTCTCATGTACTTCCGGACCGGTGCCGAGGCTCCCATCATCTATGCCGGTGATTTGAAGAACGAAGAGAGAGTCCTGGACTGGCTCATCATCCAAAAGGATCCCAGCGGGGACGTGATCGAGGAAATGCACGGAACAGCTCTCAAGGATCTCATCATTCGTGCTGACTTCCTCGCCGTATACTTCTGTGAGACTCAATACCGACCCTTCTTTCTTTTTTTTTCCGTCTTCATGAGTCTTCCTATTCGTTAACCTTTTCGCGAATATTTGCGTCAAGTTTTGAGTAAATTTATCAATTAACATCTCCACGGATGGAAAAGGAAAGGGCAATAATGCTCGTCGATTTTCAACAATGAAATTAATGCGCAAGGGGTGTTCAAGAAATGAGATTTTTTCGTGGCTGCATATTTGAATAGCAATTTTTTTTTTAACGAAATGTTATTTATGTCTTCTCAAAGTATCATCTTCGGGGTTCGATGCATAGATCCCATCTCCATATCTAGTTGGCAAGTGCACGATTCTGGCCATTCCTTGTATGCCGTATTAGAATCGCTACCGCATACTTCAAGATTTCTTGCCTGGAAATGAATTCCTTTCATTAGGATTCATTGGCAGGGAGATGACAAGGGTTCATGCGCTTTGCAGGGAACTTGCATAACAGAGGAGTTGGGGAATAATAGTATAGGTATGGAATGGCGAGCTGATGTGAATTGAACATCCCATCCACAACCAACTGCTTCCACCCCACACTTTTTTTTTACCATCCTTTCCGTCGAACTGGTTCAGCAGCTCGAAAGGGTTAGGGCACTGAGTTCATTCTGCGATGGCACTGTCAAGGCCCCGCATGGCTCTGGTGAGGCTGAGGTGCAGGCTCAGAGAATATAATCCTTTCCAGTCCGTTTTGCATGGCAGTGATGGCGACGATAACTTATGTGTGTGGGTATGGATCAGTCAGACAGAGGAGAAGGAAAGGGAGATGATGATGGATCGGAATCGCAAACCCTCTCCTTCTTGCAAGAACTGGATGTGATTTGGGAGTGCCAACTGAATGTTAGGAGACACACATTCTCTCTCCTCTTCCTCGGTCCGTCTGTGTCTGTCATTCTTGCGTGCCTTTTCTTCCTCTTTCTCTCCCGATTGCCTTCCCTCACCACTCACCACTCTGGCTGTGCCTCTCATATGAACCCTCGTTCTTATCGTCTCACACTCTCCAAGAACAGCAGCAACAACCACCACATTATCCCTACCCAAGTGGGCATTGCTAGGCTAAGATCCCAGGTCCTTTGGGAGAAAAAAAAAAGGAAAAAGAAAAAAAAAAAAGAGGACAAGATCGCAGATAAAGGGCGTTCAGGACAGAAGGATCAATTCAGTCGGGCCCAACAGCCCAACATGACAAGTAATTCCACAGTTCCTTTACATGAGGAGAATGAATGGCATTTAAAAAAATATTGAAATCTCCCAAAGGTCACGCATGGGTATGACTGTGAGGGAAGAACCTGCTTGCGTATTGTACCCCTCTTTCACACATGTATTTGTCACCTTATTCTTATGTTCTCGTTAACCGCCGACTAAAGCATTAAAAAACCATGCAGAGTATTTCCGAGGTGGCATTTCATGTCATGGTGCTATTACTTACGGATATGAACAGATACGAAGGTGGATTGCGAGGAATGCGAGACAGTGTTGGAGGAACTTGAGAACATCGACGATGATACAGATCGTCATGGGATCGGATTCGTGAAGACCCAAGACCAGGACATTGCAGAGGCTTACGGTATCCACGAATTCCCTTCGCTCGTATACTTTGAGAAGGGGAGTCCATCCATTTATGAGGGTATAGGCCTGTCCCTTCTCTCCTTCACTTCCTTTGAAGGTGCAGGTACTGGTTACTGAGGTTGCCTTGCAGGGAATCTGGCGGAGGAAGAAGATGTCCTACAGTGGTTGGTGCTGCAAAGGACGGAGGATCGGATCGAAGCTGTGAATCGGGATCTCCTTGAGTACATGATCGAAGATCATCAGTACCTGGCCGTCTTCTTCTGTCCGTCCTTTTCTCTCTTCCTCTCTCCCTAATCCACGCAGCACGGAGACATCCCAGGGATGTCCCCAGCCGAACGACTTGTCCCAAGGTTTCTACGAGACATCCTAAAGACATATTCAGTCGAATACCTCTCGATATCCCGAAAGTGGTGGCCTAAATACAACACCATAACTTGACGTATCGCAATTGAATCCCTTTCTATGAGAGACAGTCATCCTTGGGATATCTCCTCACCCAGTCATTCTCATGACCCTGAGATATCCCAATAAGTCATGAATGGGACTTAAGTATCTCCAAGGGATGTTCCAGGGGCAAGTTTGGGATGTTTTTTGTGCTGCGTGAGTATGTTATGTCCATATGATGTAATTCCGAGTCCATCCCACAGACAAGAGCAACTGCCGAGCGTGTGACAATGTTTTGACCGAGCTGGAGAATATCGACGATGAATGTGACCTCTACGGCATCCAGATGGTGAAAATTAACGATCCTCAATTGGCAAAACGATATGGGATCAAGACCTTCCCTGCCCTTGTCTACTTCCGCAATGGCAATCCTCTCATCTTTGATGGTCAGTCGCTCACTTGGTACTTACATTGTTTTACTTTCATTTCACGGCTGATTAATGACGTCATCTTGCGACCTCTTGCGTTGCCTGAGAAACTCCCTTCAATTCATCAATTCAATTCAATTCAAATAAATCTAATCAAATTACGAACAGTAGCTGTTCGCAAGGGAATATAACTGCCCTATCAAAGGTTTACGGCTGAACCAAAACGAGCAAAACAAGAAAGAGATGCTGGAGTCCGCCCTCATCTCTTCCCGGCTGGACCAGAACGGATGAGACGATAGGGATAGTTGTACAAGGTATATACTGATGGTAGAGATGATGATATGATGGTTAGCCTCGGTGATGGAGGCATCGGCGAATCAAGTTCTGGACTGGCTCGTCGATGACGAGAATCGAGAATTGGAGGATCGCATCGAGCTCGTCAATGCTCAAATGTTGGATCTCCTGGTGGAGACTTCTCCACTCCTTGCCGTTCTCTTCTTCCCCAAAAGTAAGACCAGAAATGCTAGAAGGAAAGAGAAAACCAGCAAGAGAGTGGCCGAGTGTTCGTGTGTGTCTCCACGTCTTCCCCATGGCCCCTTCTTTGGATGTCCATGGATGTGACATGTGATTGCTGTCTTGTTCCCCATGTGTCTGGTCCTGTGGTGTGTGCTGTAGGAGACCTGAAGAACGAAGAAGGCGTGTTGGAATGGCTCATCGACGATGAGAATCGTGAATTGGCGGACGAGATCGAGGCTGTCAATGCTCGCATGCTCGAGAAACTCTTGGACGATTCTCCTTTCCTCGCTGTTTTTTTTTGTACGTACGTCCTTCCTTCCTTCCCTTCCTCTCTGTCTCTCCATTCCATCTTCTCATCTCTTTTCTGTCTTTGGACGATCCCCCCCCCCCATCATCGAAGTAGTAAAGGTTATGTTGCATCTGCATGGCATGCGCCACACAAGGCACCTATGTGTACTGTATATTGCATTATGCCTTAGCTTAGTCTGTAATCGAGTCGAAATCGAAGTATTGAAGAGAATGAATGGGCGACAGACGAGTCGGAGTGTACGGAATGCACGGGAATTCTGGAGGAACTGGAGAACATCGATGACGAGGCGGATATGTATGGCATCGACTTCGTCAAGATCAACGACGAAGAAGCGGCCAATAAATACAACATCCTTAACTTGCCGGCTCTCGTCTATTTCCGCAAGAGAACTCCCTTACTCTACGAAGGGGATTTGCGAGACGAGGAGAAGGTCCTCGCCTGGCTCACTTCACAAGACGTCTTTGAAATCAAAGACGAGATCGAAGAGGTCAACAGGAAGATGCTTGAGAAACTCCTCGACGAGAATGATTTCGTTGCCGTCTACTTCTGTTGGTGTTCATCCCCTTTCTTTTTGATTCAGCTCCCGCAGAAGAGTTTCATTTGGGAAAAATATATTTCTTCCTTCCTCCATGCAGATGAGAACAACTGTCAGAAGTGCGAAGAAGTGCTGGAGAAATTGGAGGAGATCGACGACGAGGCAGATCATCTGGATATCACGTTCGTCAAGATCAAGGATGCCCGATACGCCAAGAAATACGGTATCTCCAAACTTCCAGCCCTTGTCTACTTTCGAAAGAGGTTCCCCTCCATCTATCGAGGTGGGTGTCGAAGAGCTTCCTAAGGATACTACCCGTTAGAATGGCCAACTGAATGACATATGGGGGCATGGCATTGGCAGGCGACCTGATCGCAGAGGATGAAGTCCTAGAATGGCTGACCAGGAACCGATTCAAGCATCCCGAACTCAACCTCTTCATGTACGGATTAGCAGCCATCTCCTCCGCCTTCATCATGTACACCCTCTTCCTCATGTTCTGCTTCAAGGGAACTCATCAAAAAGCGGCCTAGAGCTTACCTGGAGGACCAGGCAACAATGTGATAATCAGCAGGCCTCACTGAGCTCATAAACATACAAATTAAACTGTAAAATGATACTGATCTGTCCATATCCCGTCCTCAACCTCTTCCTTCCTTCTCCCTCTTTCAAGGCCTGTCCTATGCAAAGGTGCTCAAATTTTCATAATCCTAGAGAGAGAGAAAGAGATGAATCCAATCGATTGCCATATGAATGAAAGATCCCCTGTTTCTTTTCGCTTCGTCGTTCTGTTCCGTCTTATTCGGTGTACTTCTCAGGGTCATGCCCACGCGCCACGCACACACTCTGTGCCTCCCTTTCATGGCCTCCTGATTTATTTGTTTTTGTACATAATATGATTACGATTGTATTCCACGGAACTGAATGAGTAACAAGGACAAAATGTTTCAGATGGGGCCTGAAATAAATAAAAAAAATTCAGTCTCTCGTCCGATCCTAATCTCACGTCTGCTTCCTTTTCTCATTGTTTTCAACTTCAACTCTAATCGCCACTCATGGGATTATTTGTCTGAAATATTCAAGACGGTAGTTGCTAACAATTCGCATTAGACAGCACAACGTCACATTACTGGTAGTCTAGAAAATGCGATATAGACTTGATGAGAGACTATCATCAGGGACTAGAAAAGCTGAAAGTACTTGATCATTCACTTTCTCTTGCCTGACAGGCAAGGTCACGGGTCACACAATCATCCATCTTTATCCAAAAGCAGACATTCAATCTCTTGCGATTCATGCATCACAATTGTCCCAGATTGAAATTTCAGTACAGAACTACAAGGACTGAAGTGACCACAAAAACCAATTAGTTTGACCTGTTGCACTGGTTGGGATATCTTTCGACTTATATATTTTCTAGGACTACTTGTTGACAGGCTCAAAAAATCCATTTCCCTTTACAGACAAAATTGTACTTTTACTTATATTTATAAATAAAAGGTAAAAAATAAAACCCCCCTATTTCAACTAGGGAACATAAACATAGGGTAAAGGCACCCGTTTGTGGACAGGTTAAGGAAATTTTCCTCTTGAAAATTGCGTTACGGTCGTTGGGTTAACCAAGAAACCACTTGATTGGTTTCAACGGGAGGCCACTTATCATAGTTTGATGCTAATACCCTAAAATAAAAGATTAAAAGTATACTTTTCCATTAATCACTGTTTAAATGAATAAGTGCTGATTTTCAAGTGGTTCCAATTTGTGGACATCCATGGACATAGTTTGCGGACACCAGTTTTTTTTCAACAATTATGAACGTGCGTAGGTCGAATAGTAAAATATGGGTATGAGACATGTACAGCAATTATATTTATCTTCAATGATGTCCTGTTAAGAAATATCATTGGAAAAATTAAGGAATCCAGGGGTGCTAGGTCTAAAACTGAGCGAAAATGTCCAAGTTCACTTATGCTGATGGCTATGCATAATTTATAAGGTGGTTGACAGGCAAGTGCAAAATATGGACCATTTGAGGAAATACATTTTCGGCGTGAATTTTGTAAAATGGCAAAAAACGCGAAACTGTCCACAAATAGGCGCCCGTCCACAAACTGGTGCCTCTACCCTAGTTCGTCCATTTCCAGGAAAGCATCAGGAGGCGAGTCCTTAACCCTTCAGGCGTCCGTTTCAGCGCGCCGAAAACAAGGACATTTCACTTCTTCCAGCTGTGTTATTACGTCATCCCTCGGAAAGAAAACCCGCGAAAAAAGCAGAGATATTGTTCATAGTATCGAAATCTCATGTTAGGGGGGGGCTCATGCGAAAATATGCTTTAAAATCTCATTCGATAGGGGAGCCGCCTGAAAGATTAATGAAGTGCAATTTCTTGTAACTTGTCAAAGCCCGCTAAAGACCTGTCTTGCTTTTATCTTAAACCTGGTTCTTGGGAAACAGGCGGAAGTATGACTTAATTTTGCTGCTCTTTCTGTATTAAGAGTTGTTCCTGGGGATGGACAAACTATGAGTATGACTCGTCTCCCTCCTTCGTTTTCATCTTGCGTCCGAAAAGTTGATGATGAGAACTACAATAGTGCAGTGGTCGCCAAGTGGGCCAGACACTTGCATTTCTTCAGGAATCGTTGACCTTTCTATTTACAGGACTACAAGAATGCACTGTTTATCAATAGAGTTTCATAATGCAAAGAAATTTATAACATAGATGATGAGAGGAGCTGGGAGTGTTTGTTGGGACGTGACTCAAATAAATGCTCTGCGAAGATTGAGGTATGCAGTAATGATTACCAGAAGAATCCAAGACTGAATTATTCTGGGCACTTACAGTTGAGACTTTACCAATCAGCTACCAATGAGGCATCATGAAATGTTATATATCATATGCTTGACTGTGTCTCATAAGATAAGGCCGCTCTTTACCCTGATAACCAGAAGTAATGATGTTGGAGATAATATAAAAATAAATAGTTAAGACAAGGTTGGGGGTTGCATATACACCAAATGTCCACAAAATTAGAGATACCTCACTAGTAGCGTGTTGGACCGCCTTTGGCCCTCAAAACAGCATCAATTCGTCGTGGCATGGATTCCACGAGGTGCTGGAAACGTTCTG